CACCACTATATAATAGTCTAGCAGATATACTATCCCAGTCTATATATTCTGCTTTTTTCAAAACCTCTCTCACAATATTTTTCTTATCTAATGGTATACGTTCCATCTTACCTATAGGTATCTTTTCTTTTAACTCTTTCAATATATTGTTTGTGTCTGGAATATGTTTGAGACGGTTCATATAGTTGTCGAAGTCATTGCATATAATCTTTGAGTCAGGAAATACGGTATGACATAAATGGGATATATAGAAACTTCCACCGAACAAATCTACAAATGTTAGACCATTCGGTAGTTTCTTAAGTTCTCTCAATATAATATCTTTACATCTACTCTTATTTCCAAAGAACGGTAACGGTGGTTTTGTAAAATTCATTTATATATAATAATAAAAATGTTTTTACCCGAAAAGTGACAGAAAAGTGACAAAACGTGAAAACATATATAATTTGTGAAAAGTGACATAAAAAGTGATATTTAAAAAAGTGACACTATTAATATGATGTAAATAACAACGGTTTTGGTTTTGTCACCGGCTGGTCGGCTGGGGTTCGGTCCTCCTCTTGGGTCTTGGGCAAAATTTCTTATGGGCTAGAGGGCGCAACGCGCCTGGAAGCCCCACTACCTTTTTTTATTTAAGTTGGCGTATCTTACGCCCTTCCAAAAATATGTATTAGAAAGATGACTTATAATTTCATAAATTATTTTGTCCCGACGGTTTGAGCGGTTATCAGAATGGTTGCTTACACAATGCGTCAGCAAAATGTCGGTTGGGGTGCCCTTCTTGGCCTCCTGAGTACTCACCAAGATACCCCAGCTCCCGCAAAACACCTCCCTTAGGTGCGCATTACCTGACGGCATTATTTTGCAATTATTTCAAATTTTTTAGATGTCTTTTGTTAAAGTTTGTTAACTAAAGACTTGAAAACAGCTTACCGCTTCAAGCTGCTCTCTTCCCGGTTCCTCTGCCGCAATCTTCTGTTTGATTGTGCGCAAAGCTCTCCTCCTTGTGAACTTTGCCTGACAGATACACCTGGGAGACAGCATTCGGACATCTTACCGCTTCAAGCTGCTCTCTTCCCGGTTCCTCTGCCGCAATCTTATGTCTGATTGTGCGCAAAGCTCTCCTCCTTGTGAACCATGGCTGATAGAAAGAACTGAAAGACAGGATAGGAGGAACATGCCGGTTCAAGTTAACTTGCAATATGCTTCTGATTAGTGATTTTAGATGAAAGATTAGCGAAATCGCATTTAATTTGGATAGAAGGATTCAATTTTATGAAGCAGTCTCGTAGAAAATATGCAGGAATAGCACAATCTTTTGCAATCAGAATGTGGTTGCAAAACTTTGACCGACAAGAGTGTATTGTGCACTCTTGTCGGTCTGCATGTCTCATTCCTGGAGACATTGTCACTGCATGTCTCCCAGAATGAGACAATCTTCCGCATTCATAACTTGAATGCGGAAGTTTGACCGACAAGAGTGTATTGTGCACTCTTGTCGATCTAAATGTATCTTACAATCAAAGACACTTTCATACAATCTTTTCGAAGTTAAAAAAAAAATTAATTATTTCTTTCTTTTGTTTATTAAATCGCCTTACTCACGTACTAATCTCTTTTAGAGACTCTATCGAGCTATCCCCACATATAAACCTGTGACAATAATACATATTTACTCTCTTCATATTCTGATCTCATGACACATTATCGCAAAAACTATAATTATACAACACATCTCATAAAGTCTCATTTTAGCCCTATCTAAGCGTTCAAAACCTATTTTCCCCGCGTAATCTGATTCTTCTGGCTCCGCTGATTCGATTTCTGCTGTCAGATCGTGAAAATATGCATCACATAAAGAGATAAACACAACTCAAAATTATTGCTTTTTTTTTCAAATTGTCTATTCATCCATCTTTACATATTTATTATCTCCTCCGTTTCCCCTCACAAATTCTTTTAATTTTCTGAATAATACGTATAATAAAATGAATATCTCAAAAACTAAAACACAAAATTAATGTTGGAAAATGACTAGATATAATCTGAACTTTTGAATTCATACATTTTTGGAAAAAATTGAATTTTCAAAAAAAGAGCTTATTTAGGTATGAACCTGAAGAGAAATTTTAAGGAAAATATTAAGTTGTGCAATTTGCATTTATCTCTTTATGTGATGCATATTTTCACGATCTGACAGCAGAAATCGAATCAGCGGAGCCAGAAGAATCAGATTACGTGTGGAAAATAGGTTTTGAACGCTTAGATAGGGCTAAAATGAGACTTTATGAGATGTGTTGTATAATTATAGTTTTTGCGATAATGTGTCATGAGATCAGAATATGAAGAGAGTAAATATGTATTATTGTCACAGGTTTATATGTGGGGATAGCTCGATAGAGTCTCTAAAAGAGATTAGTACGTGAGTAAGGCGATTTAATAAACAAAAGAAAGAAATAATTAATTTTTTTTTTTAACTTCGAAAAGATTGTATGAAAGTGTCTTTGATTGTAAGATACATTTAGATCGACAAGAGTGCACAATACACTCTTGTCGGTCAAACTTCCGCATTCAAGTTATGAATGCGGAAGATTGTCTCATTCTGGGAGACATGCAGTGACAATGTCTCCAGGAATGAGACATGCAGACCGACAAGAGTGCACAATACACTCTTGTCGGTCAAAGTTTTGCAACCACATTCTGATTGCAGAAGATTGTGCTATTCCTGCATATTTTCTACGAGACTGCTTCATAAAATTGAATCCTTCTATCCAAATTAAATGCGATTTCGCTAATCTTTCATCTAAAATCACTAATCAGAAGCATATTGCAAGTTAACTTGAACCGGCATGTTCCTCCTATCCTGTCTTTCAGTTCTTTCTATCAGCCATGGTTCACAAGGAGGAGAGCTTTGCGCACAATCAGACATAAGATTGCGGCAGAGGAACCGGGAAGAGAGCAGCTTGAAGCGGTAAGATGTCCGAATGCTGTCTCCCAGGTGTATCTGTCAGGCAAAGTTCACAAGGAGGAGAGCTTTGCGCACAATCAGACATAAGATTGCGGCAGAGGAACCGGGAAGAGAGCAGCTTGAAGCGGTAAGATGTCCGAATGCTGTCTCCCAGGTGTATCTGTCAGGCAAAGTTCACAAGGAGGAGAGCTTTGCGCACAATCAAACAGAAGATTGCGGCAGAGGAACCGGGAAGAGAGCAGCTTGAAGCGGTAAGCTGTTTTCAAGTCTTTAGTTAACAAACTTTAACAAAAGACATCTAAAAAATTTGAAATAATTGCAAAATAATGCCGTCAGGTAATGCGCACCTAAGGGAGGTGTTTTGCGGGAGCTGGGGTATCTTGGTGAGTACTCAGGAGGCCAAGAAGGGCACCCCAACCGACATTTTGCTGACGCATTGTGTAAGCAACCATTCTGATAACCGCTCAAACCGTCGGGACAAAATAATTTATGAAATTATAAGTCATCTTTCTAATACATATTTTTGGAAGGGCGTAAGATACGCTAACTTAAATATATTATTAAATATGAGAAAATCACTCAACAAAAAAACAATTCTTTCAAAAAGTTTAAAATTTATCTTTCTAATACATATTTTTGGAAGGGCGTAAGATACGCCAACTTAAATATATTATTAAATATGAGAAAATCGCTCAACAAAAAAAAACAATTCTTTCAAAAAGTTTAAAATTTATCTTTCTAATACATATCCTATGGAAGGAGTTTACATTCACAAAATAAAAACCAGTTCAAAATCTTATTACTCCTTGAATTAAAATCATTTAATTTCAAATCCATTCCAAATCCTTAAATCTGTATTAAAATCATTTTGTCAACAACCAACACAATACAAATTACATTTCCATATATCTTCTTGTCCATTTTAATTTTTTATCTCATTTTATTTAATTTTATTTAAAGCATATAGACATCGAGATCCTTTACACATAGTTATATAAAAGTCAAATACATAATAAATTCTTAATTCTAGAGATATCTCAAAATCTCAATTTTTTAATTTAAAATACCTTTCATTTTTCACAGTACTATCACAACAAACAAGCCATTTACTAATTAACACATATAAGAAAAATATCAAATTACAAAACAACTTTCAATATCATTCGCATCGAATTCTATTTTTTCATAATTATCAACTACATGTTATTATATAATATATGTCGGCGCATATTCCACTCTATACAAGTGTCAGACACACTCACACAAAGCTGTGAGATTCATACCTCTATCAGTAGGACTTCTCAAATCAAGAACACATATGTTTCACTATCGCACATCTGTGTAGGATCTAATTAACCCTTTGGACTGGTACTTCAAAATTTGATAATTTGATAATTTCATGTGATATCATCATTTGCCTTTAAAACAACTGTGCGTTAAACTAGACACGTTTCTCTATCATAATGCAAAATATCAAAGTTTGGGAGACTCCCAAAGTGTCTGAAACTGATCATAAGGGTGAACAACCGTTTTCCAGAAGTTGGGAACGTAGGGTAGTATCTTTGATGAAATGAATGATATGCAAAGATTTATTAGTTGAATAACTCTTGTAAATCGTGGAAATATTATATCTGTTAGAATACCATCTGTAAAACGAGAATAAAAAAAAATGAAAATTTCAAGTAAGGAAGAAGCCAAAAATGAAACTTGCCCATTCAATGATCCACCTAAATTTTAAAGTACAGGTATTCTTGCTTATAGAAAGCAATGCAAAAGAATTGGAAATGAAAATATCAGTGAATCTAAATTTCATACAAAATAAATTAAACAGGTATTAAAGAATGGTATATATAAATTAATGAAAAACGTGATAAGGATTTATTGGATCCAAATTATCGATAATTTGGCACTTTTCAAATCTGTCAAAATAAAATATTGATCAAATAAAATAAGCATTTGAAGCTAAATATATCCTTTGAAATTTTTTTCTGACCCCCATGTTGAAAATTTTGCGGTTTTTTGATATTATATGCAGCAGCCCTTAAATCCTCAGCAACCTCAGGTTGTTTATGCTTATCCTGCTCCTCAATACTTTGTCCCTGCTCCAAATCCATATACACCAAACGAACAGCAACCACAAGCAATTTATCTCATCCCAGCACCAATAGATCCACAAACTCAGCAAGTTTATGCTTACCAACCTCAGCCAACTACTAATGTTCTTCAACCACAAGCCGATATCGAGCCTTTACCAGTCGAAACTGATGTTCAACAACAACGAGTCATTGAACATAACGAGCGTTGCATAGATATCTTGTTAGGTTTAGTTGCAGTATTCTTCCCATTGATTGGACTGATCTGCGCTTGCTTCATTTGGAGCCAAAATAAGAAGAGAGGAAAAATATTACTTTCTTGCGCTATCGCTTCTATTGCTTTCAGTCTATTCATTTGTATTGCTGCTTCTATTTTCTCATATTAATTTTCAAAACTCACTGAATTTTTTTTTATTTTAAATAAATTTTAATTTATGAAATTAATCCACAAACGCTTTTTCTCCCTCATGTTGTCCTTGGAAAAATGTACGAAACATAAAAGAAGTCATAAAAAAAATATCTGAAAAATTAAGCTTCCTTTGCTCCAAAGAAACATATAATAAAAGAAATTCTTCTGTTACTCTTTGAACAGAAATACAACCGTGATTTGTGAAGATGTCATCAAGCCCGTAATTTGGATGGAATACTCCGTGATCATTAGCCATCCGTTCAATTGTGAATTTAATATGTTCGAAGCCAATCCAAATGAAAGTTTCTTCGTCAATCTTTGGACAGCAACCAATTGTCTCAAACACATTAATCACTTCATAAAATCTCCTTTGTTTAAATCCAAACATCTCGCTGGTTTGCCGGATGTCATATTTTGATTCAGAGGACTGTTTGCAGTGTTTGATGAAATCTAAAGTGGAGTTCTTGAACGCGGATGGCTTTTCGAAACGCCTCCTAATTGTATATATGCTGCAATTCCCATAGTAATTTTTTGGAATCTCTTCCTCCTCATATAGAGTCATCTAAATTTTTGACGATTTGTGAGAATAAAAATTGAATAGAAAATAATTAAGCGAAAAAAATAAGTATTTTTGTATAGCTACTGAAGTCCAATAGTTTTATTTGCAGGATGTCTATAGGTATTCAGAAATTTACTGAGGTCAATTCAAAATAATTTTGTAATTTGACTGAAATTTTTCTTTATCTTTTTTGGTCGAATAATTATAGAAATAAAAAAATATATCGAGGTTACTGATAGGCAATATAATATTAAACGGGAAAAGTTTTCCGAATGCTTCTATTCAAAACAATGTTGTTTGAATTTGAGATGGAGTAATTTTTCATAACCTCCAATAACAATTGCCATACTGAGTAATTTATTTACTTTGAATACATTTTTTTAAAACATCGAGGAAATGTTATTTTAACAATAAGGATTATCAATAACATATGTCAATGAAGTATTAAAGAAAATAAACCCATCAAAAAAAATATTATTGTGAAAATAGATGAGCAGTGCAAAAAGTTTAACATTTCTATAATACTGAAGTTATGGATATTCTTAATCTTGAGTTCATCAACTATTTTCAGGGGGCGGCGACAAATTTGTCCAGCCAGTAAAGTATTCAATTTTTTTGCATTTTTTTAAGGGTGCACACGATAGGATCATGTAAACTTCAGAATTTAGCTTCTTAACTTAAATCATGGAATGTCTCAAAGACAAAAGTAGCATACAGCATGTAAAGCTAAAGAAAGATAATCATAATTAATACCTTAATTTTTAATATTACGCATTTTTAGGTGCAAAATTTAAAAACATTCTAATACAATAGAGCAGTTTCCAAAAGTAGCATACAGCATGTAAAGCTAAAGAAAGATAATCATAATTAATACCTTAATTTTTAATATTACGCATTTTTAGGTGCAAAATTTAAAAACATTCTAATACAATAGAGCAGTTTCCAAAAGTAGCATACAGCATGTAAAGCTAAAGAAAGATAATCATAATTAATACCTTTAAAGTTTAAAATCTTGATTTTTTTTTAAAATCAAATATTTATAACTTTAATACATACAGCTTAAACCTTATACTTGTTTTCTCTTGTGAGAAAGCAATCTTACAAAGCTAACAATCCTAAAAAATAAAGAATTAAAATTTAATAATTTAATCTAACAAAATTTCTCTCTTTATCCTTTTGCACTCTTTATATGCAACTCAAATCCATCATATAATATTCCTATAATACTCTTGCCTCAAACAATGACGAACAAACTGCTATTCTCATTTAATTACAGACCAAATCTATTCAAATTTCTGAATTTTTAATTTTCATTTTAATTTCAAATGGAATTAGAAGAAGAAACTATCTTTACTGTTATGGATCTTTGTAAATTTGGAGTTAAACAAGAAATACAAGCACAGTATGGATATGGTGAACGTGTCAGGAAAGAAAGATCTCAGATTTCATTCCACTGCAAATATCCAAAATGTCCTGCACATTTTAATGTTGCAATCTTGGATCAAAATAAATACAAACTAATCAAAATAGTTGAAGAACATGATCATTCCGCCCCAAATGACAAAAGTCAATATTCGTCTGTCTTTTATCGCAAATATTTAGAACATTACTTCCAAACAGATGACAATCAAAGAGCGATAGCACAGCTAAATGCATTCAAAGATCTTGAAATTCCTCTTACAGGTCCGTCCATTCCAGAGATGTACGCTCAAAAACCACGTGCAATCAAACGATTTGCAGAGAGAATACATGCTCTTCAAACTAGATATTCTCCTGACGATGTTGTGTCATTGCAAATCTTTGTTCAGACAGTACAAGAAGAATCTCCAGATGATCTCATTGCATTTGAAGTCTCAGACAATAATATGTGTTTCTATTACGCGCCTTTTGAAGGCAAAGCTTATGCGCATAGTATCAAGACATTTCATATAGACAGCACCTATAAAAGTTAGTATACAAGTCTCGTGTACGGAGGCACTGCGTTCCTCCGTACGCAATACTTGTGAATTTGACACTTTACGAAACCGTTAACGTATATTTTACAACACAAACGACAACACTAACTTAACATTAAATATTTACAAAGCCGCCAACCACTTCACTTCACTAACGAACTCACTAATGTAAAAATAAACGTTCTCACTATCGTTCTCACTAACGACTTCACTAATGTTCTCATAAATTTTCCTCAATATCTTCATCATCAGTGTTAACCCTATTGTAGTCATACTTGAAGCCATAAACTTTCTCTAACTTCTTAACGTACAATTTACATAACTTACCTTCGTCATCGTATGGTTTAATGATATAACTATTTCTATCTTTATACACAGTCAATGAAAAGTCAACTGGTCTCGGATGTATTTGAAAGAACATGTTATGCTCAGGAAGGAAGAATAAATGTTTAAATGTATGTTTGTTATATTTTTCGATTTGTATGAGTTGCTTTTGTTCTGTCATTTACATCCAAAATAAAATAAAAAATAAACTTAAAAATAAACTTAAAATTAATGATATCACCACCCTCACACGTATGAAAACATAGCGCAAAAATAAATTTAGGTGAAGTGGTGAAATCTCACCTCTTTTTTCACCTCTTTTTTCACCTCATGAATTCATTGCTTTATAACTCTCTTCCTTGGTTTCTTTTTAGTTGCTTTCTTCACGTCTGTCTCCAACTTGACTGTCTTTCTTCTTCGTCCGTAATGATACCAGTTACTTCCACCAGTCAATGGGTCAAATGGTCTTTCGTAAGGGTTTCCATACATTCCATAGGGACCATACGGAAGAACTGCTGGTGGAGGAAGAGTTCCATCGACTCTATTTAAATGCATTGTTTCACCTTTCATCTGGTCATTAAAGTCTTTTGCGTGTTTTGAAAACTCATCGTCCTTTCCTAAAGCATTTTCCGACTCAGTCGCAACCAAATTGGATGCTTTATTTATGAGCCCTATTTTATTTAATCTTAACTTCTTTGCAACCCAGCCTCCAATCTTTCCTTTATTTGCATCTAATGTCTTCGAAACTCTTCCTCCACTCATTTTATTTACTGCGTCATAAGCCCCAAGTGCTTTTGCTCCAAATGCTAATGCTTTTGTTCCCATTGCGCCTAAAGCTGCCCAAGCTACCATTTACACCATATTAAAATCATCTCTCTTCAATATTATCTCATAAAAGTTCTCTTTACTGGAGAAAGTCAATGAAACATAAACATTCTCACGGGCTTCGCCCTCACCGCTTTGCGGTCTATCTAACTTCTTTCTTATCTCATCTATTCGCTTCAAAATGTCTGAACAATTGCTAACATCTTCTACAACAGTTATTTCATCATGACTGACCTTCAAGAACAAGCTCATTTAATATGCAATTAAAATCATCTCAATAATGAGTCCATCCTTTCCATCTTTAGGTAGCACAACATCTTTCATTGAAGAAGGTTCGACAAGTCTTATGTTAAACTTACTGACAAAGTTTGTTATACTATAATGCTTCGGTGGCGAATACATGTAGTTTGAAAGACATAATATAGATTCTTCAGCAAATTCACTTATACTGGATTTTATAACAATGTTCTCACGAGACCAAATACCACCAATTGACAATCTTGTAAGCAATCCTGCTGAACCTTCTACTGTAAACATCGATGGTAACATTCCACGAAGGTCATCTATTGACATCGTTGAGTCACTGAATTTAAATATTTTCTTAAAGCAATCGTCATTATCTAACCATGCAATAGCTTTGAAGTTTTCATTCGAATATACATCTGCTTCATTAAATGTAAAACCTGACTTCTTTGCAGAGATGACTTTAAAATCTATTGAGTTTGTTTCAAAATTATATGCTATGGTAACTTCTGAAGGTAATGGATGCCCTTCCGCAGTAAGTTGTTCTCTCACTACCGTTTGAAGCTTTGTGTTAAAAACTTTCATGTCATCTCCTGTGTCTAGGTTCACATACACAGCAATGGGAAAACTATCTTGCTTCTTTGTTTCATCATTATACCTCAAAACATTAAAGTTCTTCAATAATATTGTCCTTCCTGCTGGAATACTTCGAACCTGTCTGATTTCAATAGCTTTCTCACCTCCTACATACTCTACCCAGTGTCTTGGATATTCATAAGTATACTGACTTTCTTGAATTTTGGTTGGTTTCATCATAACGTGTTCATAGTATATCTTTATACTCTTGTCAGTTAGACTCGGTGCTATGTTCTGAATATTTCTGACTTGCATTTTTAATGGAGATAAAATGAAGCATTTAATACATGACGTAGATGAAGACATGAATGAAACTACAGACAAACTTAACTCTTCTCTCATTCTTCCTTTCAGCAAAGATTATGAATTCTGTTCAAATGGTGTGTATTTCTATTGTGGAAAGATGGGTTCAGGTAAGACATTTAACCTCATTCGTCATATACTCATAACAGAGCGTTTAAGTCAAGATTCATATTATGACCAAATCATTATATCAGCAACTTCAGACTCTATGGACTCAACAGCGAAAACATTTATGTCAAAAGTTCAAGCATCTGTCGTTAAAGTTCCAGATAGCGAACTCATTGAATTTCTTCAACGTTACGTTCGACGTAAGAGGAAATATTATGCCATCGTTGAATTTATACAGTCAGGAATGCAAAAGACTTCAGAAGAGATGGAAAGAATTATTGACAAACACCACTTACGTCAATACTCAGGAGTTTACGATATGAAACGACTTACAAACTACATTCTGTCAAAACTTTCAAAATACCCCTTCAAAAAGTATCCTTCAAATACTCTGCTCGTTTGCGACGACTTCGCCGGAAAAGGTTTAGTGTCAAAGCCTGACTCACCATTAGCTAACATCATTACTAAAGTCAGACATTACCACTTAACTGTAGCAATACTTATGCAAACATGGCGTTTTCTTGCTTTAAACATAAAACGTCTCATAACTGACTTCGTTATCTTTCAAGGTTTCTCACGTTATGATATTGAACTCATTTGGAAACAGTCAGGTATAACATTACCTTTTGAAGAAATTTGGGAAGCATATAAGTCTCTCATCTCTCCTCGTTCATACCTTGAGATTCATATCATGACTAATACCATTAAAGTCAAAAATATTCCATGGGAACGACCAACATTGTTTTAAAGTTTAACCTTCAATTGACTGATGGTAAACAAATTCCATGCATCTCTGTCGCCATTTCTGTTAATATTTTTGCTGTCATTCATATCATCCACTTCCCCATCCGTTAACTTTTGAGGATATGCGTTAGAATAGCTGTTCTTAAATGAAGGCTTTTCACCTTTGAGAGCATAAACTCTATAACTTTCTGCATACTTTATGTTTGAACCTCCTGAGCCATCATTGACATAAATTTTTATAGGCTTCCACCCTTTGTTCATGTTCCTGCTTCTTCCCTTAGCTCTTTTGTTCAGTAGTTCTACATCTTTATACACAGCACCTGTCTCAGTGAATTCAACAATATTTTCATTCGTTAGCTTTACATTCAAACCCTTGTCGAGTATATTGTTCATTTCATACATATAAAAGGTTTTTATTCTATATGAAATGAGAAGCAAATCCATCTTAGCTGGTGCCGTTAATGTTCCAATTGAACCAACATCAAATGTTGACTCACGAACGACAAACAATATTGTCATAAAGAACTATAGTTCAGAGTGTTTGAAAGAAAAAGAACCAGAACTGAAATCCGTGAATTTAAACTCAGCTTCAAACGCTAACGCTACATCAGATGTTAAGTTAGAGTATCCACCACTGGACCAAGTTCTTTCAAGAGAAGCCAACGACAACCCTTACACAAATGTTCAAACAAATCCTTCAGATAACGTAGACCATTACCTTCTTCAGTTATACCAAACAATTTTACTCAAAGACGATAAGAAGCTTTTGACAAATCTTATAAGCAAGAACCAAATAATTCTAACAAAGGAGGACCTTGAAAATGTTATATCACGAATAACAGGGAAACAATGTGTCATTGACTATCTCGACCCTGAAATCGAATGCTGTGGTCAAACGCCACCATTCATGAAAATAGGTAACATCCGCATCATTGAAACACCAGGAACTACAGGAGTTGAGTTTAAGTATAAATATTCGAACGAGTATACAAAACTTTCAACAGAATATAAGCTTTGTTTGAAATATGTTTTAGTAAATTAAAGCAATTTGTAATATCTATCCAAAACTTCTTCAACAGTATCGAACTCATCTTCATAATGCAAACCTAATCTTATTGACTTGGTGCAGTTTTCACTAACACAATATAGCGCTTTGCGCTCGGCGCCTTTGACGCCTTTTTCTGTTCTCTTGACTGACATAACTAACTCATTTGTTTCATCAAACAGCAATAACCAAAGTTCATGACCTAATACATAACATTCATACTTTATATTTTTAGCTCTGAGTTCTCTTGTAAGCTGTTGCATTTAATATTTTCTAAAAAGTCAACTTCAACAGTCATTCGCACTGGTGCCTTCAGTTCTACAGGCTCTCCTTGAAAGTCAACAAGTCTGAATTGCATGTCTTTCAAATTATGAGGACTAATGCGAACCCATTTACCTAAATAGTTACTATGACAGGAACGTTTGGAATGAACATTGAATTGACTGCATAACAGAAGGATTTATATTCTACTGAACCTTTACTATTAACTCCTGAAATACCTGTGACATTAGCTATTTTTGACTCAACGTATAAACAATTACCATAACATACGTATGGAACAGATTTCATCTCAATCGTTTTGTCAACACTTTTCAAAGGACATGTCATATGGTATGCTCCCAGAAGCAATTGAACTCTATGACTCATTCGTGTTATCTTAAACTCCTTCGCATAACTGAACTTCAAAACTCCTGCAATAAGTTTAACATTCATTAAGTTTTCTTCGTTCTCCTTGTTTATTGTAGTATTTATGAGCGCATTTAACACTCCAGCTAATGTTTCCATCTTATATTCTACATTATTGTGAAATCTTATTTCGTGCTTCTTTCCATCTATTTCAAGCTCCATGAAATCTGTTTCATCTGTTATAACGAATGAAGCGATAGTATTGAAGTCAACAACTCTGAAAGCAAGCGCTTCATTCTGAAGACCTAAGTTTGTTTGTAGCTTTACTGTCCCGTATTCGTTTGGGTCTGTACTTTGCAAATAGAACAACATTTTATTCTCATTAAAATATGAGTATTGCTGCATATGCGTATGAAGCTGACAGAGCTAAACGTTTATATTTTGGTCAATACTCTCTCACACTTACTGACAAATATATTGTTATTTCTGATGGAAATACCGAGAAATACATAACATGGAAGGACTATGAAAAGTTTGACCCTATTTTAACTCCATGCACTATGCCATTCATTGTAAATGGTGAAGTTGTCATGAAGAACGACACAACTGTTTATAGGTCTGTATATGAAGCGTTAGAATATATGTTGAATTATAATCCCGAAAGATTTGACCCAAGCACTACGTCATGTACAATGCCTTTTATTAAGGATGGTGAAATCGTAAGAGTTCCGAATTCAACGGTTTACACAGCTGTTCAAAACAGTTTACAAAACATTTTAGCGAATATCTTTAATTCAGAAACTACAGAAATAAAATTACCATATATAACAGATGCTAAAGAAATTAAATCAAAAACGACAACATTATTTACGTCACTTAATGATTTAATGACTTATATCATTAATATTCCTGCACCAACTACAGCATTTGATCCAAACTCGACGGTTTGCAGTGTACCTTTCATAAAGTCGCAAACGGACTCTTTGAGTCCTGAAGGTCTTTCAGACCGAAGCGACCAGGGCGAAGCCCATGACAGTTCATTAATTGTTTTAAGGGATTCAACAGTTAATGAATCATTAAAGGCGTCATTAATGAAAATCATTGATTTTAATTCATTCACGAATACATATAATTCATTCATTAATGTTTCATATGCTTCTAAAGAAGGTGAGCCAAAAACTATCGATAAAGCGGTGTATGAAATAAAAGCATCAACGACGAAATTGAATTCGTTAACTTTTGACGGTGATAGTTTCGTTAATGACATAACATCGGGGAAAACAATTTTAACGAAAGAATATTTAAAATCTCATGTTAGTGAGTTCGTTGAAATTGAAAAAGAAGGTGGAATTAAGTTCGATCCACTGAATTTCATTTTCAGCTTAGCGAATGCGGGTGTTAGTTTCGCTGAATGGACAACTATACAGAGTGAAATAAATGCAATATGGACGTTTTTGGGGTCAAAAGCGGGAATGGGTGAGCTTGTAAATGCTGCAAGAACATTAGGTGAAACAGGAAATTTTGTAGATGGTTTTAAAAGACTTGTTTCAAATGTTTTAACAAACACAAAGAAATTATTTAGATATACCATACATAACGGACGGATTTTCGAACAGGTAGCAACAAACCCTCCGGTTATGGCTGCGTTGATGATGGTTAGAGATATAAAACCACGTAACGACGGGAACGAAGAACATGAACAACAGAGCCCAACGGGCTCAGAGCCACATAGTGGCGAGGATACTGGTCGGGTTATTCAAGACATTAAAAACGTGTATCCTGAAGTTATTGATTTATTTAGAGGAGTTAATGATTCAATTTCAAAACATTCTATAACCCTCGATGAAGAGAATAAATTAACAGATTATATATTCGTCATTATTGCAGAATTAATGAAGAGAATAAATGAAAAAGGAATTGGTGATATCATTAATGTCAGCGATGTAATGATGAAAAGAAATTTTGACTCATTATTTACAAAACCGAAAACAGAATATAGTCTTTATGACGTAATTACCGAATTAATGAAAAAGATTAATGATAATAAGAGTTCTGGCGGAAGAGTTGAATTAGAAGTGAATGATGTTAATGAGAAATTAGCCGAAAAAGCAGATAAAAATGAGCTTTTAGCTCTGAGTGATAAAGTCAAGAACCACGTTCATTATATAACTTCAGACGAACAGATTATAACGGACTACCATGGATATTTAACACGAAGTGATGAAGCGAAGACAAAAAATGTTAATGAAAGAAGATATAAATACATTCGTGCTAAAGGTTATGACATAAGCTGTACTGTACAGTATGACACAGGTAAAGCACCAGAAGCATTTAGTTATAACGATGAAATTTATGCCTCTACTTTCTCTGTTAATGGTGTATTAGTTGAACCAAGATTTATGTTAAGAGTTAAGGCAAAAATAACGTTTGAAGATGCTATTAAAAGTAAAGCTGACAAAGTTGAACTCGACGCAACGAACAAAGTTTTGAAATCTCATAAACACAACATCTCCGATATAAATGAACTTCAAGCTACATTAGACAGTAAAGCCGACAAGAACCATACAAACGAATCCTTCACTACTGTTAGAGCAGACGACATAATATTGAACTTTGACCTTGGTTCAAGTGCACCTTTAGAGAATCCGAGTACAAGCGTAAAAGATACTCTTAACAATTTAGATAAGAGTTGCAGGAATACCGAAGATCATGCCAGAAACTTTGAAGCATATGAACTACCAGCAATGTTAGACAAGAAAGCAGATAAAACTTATGTGGATGCAGAACTAACAAAGAAATTTTCGAAACCAGATACAATGACATTTACAACAGAAATTATAAATGGTGAACCAGCAACTCCATTTGAATTTGTTAGAGGTCTTCAACCAGATACTTTTGAATTTTTCTTGGATAATTCTATTGAACTAACATTACATTATAAAAGTGGAACAAATGCAACATTTCATCCGGGAGATACATTCCAAATGGTATTTAATGACATAAGTTCTTTAGAATATGTTTATAGAGTTATGAGCATATATGATTTAATATATCCTATAGGAGCTGTTTATACGTCTATGAATCCAATAAATCCAAACACTTTATTTGGTGGTAGATGGTATGAAATAGTTGACAGTTTTCCATTCTACACTAATACGCAGTCAATGAAGATGGGAGGTTCAAAGAAAATAGGTATTGAAAACCTTCCTTCACATATGCATAGGTTCAGTGGAAGAACATCTGTGGAAGGAAACCATTCACATTCAATAACAAAAGAGGTTATACAAATCTTGCAGCGGGTTCGGATAGACAGGGAATGCATAGATATGATAATCACAACTGACCCCAAAGATGTTAGCACAGGTATTTTCTGTGGAACTGCAGGAAATCATACACATGTTGTAGCTGGTATTACAGACCCAGCAGGTAATGGAAAAGATTATATGCCTCCTTATATAACAATGCACGCTTGGATACGAGTTGGTTAAAATCTTTAACTTTACATAAATGAGCTTGAAAGAAGTATTCGAACAACATCCATGGAGGTCATTTAAGAAATTCAATGAAGCTGCAAAGAGTTGGGGATTTACTAACAGAGCTGAAGTGAAAAGGTTCTTTGACAAAAATGTTGTACATCAAACAAAAATAAATCCTTACGACTACTTTTTACCAATTTACTCCAACACTCCTGACGCATACCAATTTGACACTCTCATTCAAGCAGAAAGGAGGACATAAACCATTCCTCATCTTCATAAATGTTAACACTCGTAAAGCATATGCGTATATAATGAGAAATAAAGGAACTCGTGAAGTGTTTAAGAGTTTTACAAAAGTTTGTAGCAGAACATAACCCAAGTACTTTAACATCAGACCAAGACAGTGCATACCTCAGCAACGAAATCACAGAATTTCTCATTAAGCATAACATAACTCACTACACTACTGAAGACCATAACCATAACATACTCGGCATCATAAACCGCTTCATAAGAACGCTCAGAGATTTAAATCAAGAGGAGACTTTACCGAAGAAACAATGAAACATTTTTCTCGAAGTATATAATTCCTCAACACATTCTACAACAGGACATACACCAAATTCAATGACACAACAACAAGAAGAAAAGTATATACAAAAGAAACGAAGCCAAACACAAAATATCAGAAATTCAACACAATTTACTCTCATTCCTGGTACAAAAGTTCGTGTAGTTCTTGACGACAAACCATTGACAAAGAAACGTTTAAGGTTAAGTCGAAATTATTATATCGTAGACTCTACGCAAGGTAATGGATATCTTATAAAAGCTGCTGACGACTCCATAGCATTTTACCCTCGACATAAATTAGTCGAAAGTAGTAATGGCAAACTTGCTGAAACCATTGACGAAGCAAAGCGAGGAGTGGTTATTGAAATACTTGACTATAACACAAACGATGACACTTATAAAGTAAGATATGAAGGAGGCGTTGAAGATGTTATACCATCTAAGAACTTGAGAGAATCTAAACCAACTCATCTGGGACCATTAGAGCGGGAGTACTGGAAAGATAAAAACATGCCAGAAAGAATAAGAAAATTCTTCTAAACTTTTTCGTTGGATGTAAATCAGACAAAAATATAATTTAGGTGAAGAGACCCAAAGGGTCAGAGCCGCAAAGCGGCTAGGTGAGATTTCACCTGTTTTCTCACCTCTTTTTTCACCTCTTGAATTTTCGTGAATTTTCACAAAAGACCAAAAATAATGTTAGTTTTATTTTTATTTATTTTTTTATTTTGTATGTAAGAACAGAAATGTCAATCGAAGCAAAAACATTCACGAACAAATCTAATGGTGAAACATTCACAAAAGGCACTTATAACGGTATTGAAGTCTTACGTAGAGACAAGGATGGTTACATTAATGCAACAAAGATGGCGAGAGAAGCAGGAAAGTTAAACCATTTAAACAGATTTCTCAATAGTGCTAAAATGCAGGAAATTCTTGAGTTTTGGTTGAAAGAATACGGTCGAGCCAAAAGTGGCTCAACCTCAAAACAAGCATTTTATGAGCTTGCTAAGGGCGTTATGAATGAATTCAAAGGTATTTACATACATGCTGACCTCGTTCATTTTGTTGCTGAATGGTGCTCTGTAAAGTATGCATTTTATGTCAAAGATATTATGGACTCCATAGACAAGAAAGTTCATGAGAAGTTAGATGAAGAAGAACTCGAAGATACAGTGGAGAATGCTAAACCTTTGTTCGAAGAAGAAGTTGGAAAAATGTGTGAAAAACAATTAGAACATGAACGTGAGATATATTATGGTTATAGAGATTCTCCATACGAACTAGACCAATGGGAACAAGAAGATTTAAAGAGAGAATTTAGAGAATATGAACTCGCTAAGATAGCATTTGAAGCTGCAGAAAAGAAGTTAAAAGTTTGGGGTCGTTTTGTACAAAAATATTGTGAGTAAATGAACCATTTATTTTTATTGAATTCAGCAAAAATATATTATAGGTGAAGAGACCCAAAGGGTCAGAGCCGCAAAGCGGCTAGGTGAGATGTCACCCGTTTTCTCACCTGTTTTCTCACCCCAGTTTTTCACAAGCGTTTTACATGAATTGTACGATGTATATTTGAAATCCTAAACAATTTCGTAGCTTCTATTTCTTCTGTCAGTATGTCAAAAGTTTTAACAATGCCGAAAGTTTCTTTATATTTCTTCTTGACGTCAGAAGGAAATCGTCAGCAGTTGGATAGTTTTTGTTCAGAAATGCTAACATGTCCATTTTATTTTCTGCTGGCTTTTCTGCTTCTTTCTTTAAGTCTGCATAGTCGTTTCGCATTCTTTCTATCTCTTTGACGGAGTAGTTATATTTCCTAATTGCTGCTTTACATTTAGAACATTGCGGATTCATTTTTGCGTTATATTCTGAAACCTTACCTGCTAAAACAACTAAGGCGTCAATGGTTTTCTTTAACTCAAAAGCAGTTGGTCTTATCTGTTCGTTCCATATTTTACCTCTTCTATCTTTATCTCTTATCTGCCATACACATTCAGCAACTAACGAAACAAAGTTATCGTAGGTCTTAAACTCCCCGGATTTATATATGTCAGAAACATTCTTATATACCATGTCGCAATCTTTGTCCATAACCTTATGGTTGCAATGAAATCCTAGAAACTCATAGTTTACCTTTCGAATGAACTTCTTTATTTCTACTGAGTCAGTTGGTTTCACTTCTATTTCATCGAATTCAGGAATAGTGAGTTTTTGTTGCTGAATTTCAGGTAGTTTAGGCAAATGGTCAATAATGTCCTGCATTTCATAAAGATACTGTTCATTTGTTTCATCTTTCGCACTACAGTCTAAATTACTTGTTAAAAGTTCTTGCTTTATCTTCTGGATTTTTGTTTCGAAAGTATATGAAGAAGGAATGAAGCTTTTCATCTCTATTAACATAGATGTTGGATTCATGACTAACGAGTTTGGTGAAGTTGTTGTGGACAGGTCCGCCGTTTCGCGGCTTGAATTGTTGTTGTGCCGATTGTTGAAATCATATCTTTACATACAAAATAAAAAAATAAATAAAAATAAAACTAACGTTATTTTTCTATCTTAAGGAAATTCATGAAAATTCAAGACCCTTTGGGTCTCGCCGCTTAGCGGCTGAGGGTGAGAAATTAGGTGAAAAAAGAGGTGACATCTCACCTCTTCACCTATAATATATTTTTGGTCATTTACACTCATTTACGAAGAAGTTATGACAAAGCATTTACGAAGAAGTTATGACAAAGCATTTACGAAGAAGTTATGACAAAGTCACGAGGGTGAAAAAACAGGTGAAAAAACAGGTGATATCTCACCTAGCCGCTTTGCGGCTCTGACCCTTTGGGTCTCTTCACCTAAATTATATTTTAGGTCAAAGCTTCCACGAGAGAAAAGATTCCTCATTCGCTAAGGATTCCAAAAATGAAAAAATCATTGATTTCGGCTGAGAAAAAACAGCAAAACCCTTCTTCCACGGGAACAAAGAAATAAAGAAGAAATAAAGTAAATTTTTTATTTATTCCCGTGGAAGATAGAGCACTTTTATGATACTTTTTATTCACGACAAACAAGACAAATAAAGAAAATAAGAAAATACGGCGCTGTCGCGGTTCGAACCACAGACCTTGACCCCTCCATAACACCACCTTAGACCACTGTGCTACGTAGCCTGTCGACATAAGATTTTATAAATTGCATATTTGACGTAAATTTATTTCCCAGTTATTCAAAAATAATTAATTATTGAAGAACTGAAGGTGCTACCATGTTACCATGTGCTACCAGGTCATTTAACTTCTCTGAAAAAGTGTGACAACATGACATTTTGACAACACAGCAGGAGGAAGGTAGTTATGAATTAATTATTGAAGAACTGAAGGTGCTACCATGTTACCATGTGCTACCAGGTCATTTAACTTCTCTGAAAAAGTGTGACAACATGACATTTTGACAACACAGCAGGAGGAAGGTAGTTATGAATTAATTATTGAAGAACTGAAGGTGCTACCATGTTACCATGTGCTACCAGGTCATTTAACTTCTCTGAAAAAGTGTGACAACATGACATTTTGACAACACAGCAGGAGGAAGGTAGTTATGAATTAATTATTGAAGAACTGAAGGTGCTACCATGTTACCATGTGCTACCAGGTCATTTAACTTCTCTGAAAAAGTGTGACAACATGACATTTTGACAACACAGCAGGATTAACGCAAAAATAAATTCAAATCATACTTTATAAAGCTAGACCTTCAGGTCTCGCCGCTTAGCGGCTCATTTACAGGTATTTCATCATCAGTAAATGAATCCTCATTATCGTTTGGTTCAACCTGTTTATATAATCCTTTCATTTCTTCTTTCAAAACATAACACCATGTTTGTTTACGTCTATTCTTCTATGTTTCCTATCACATTTATCCTTAATACTCATTTGGAAATTCTTGTCTTTCATGTCTGATGGTTTGCAGAATAAAGCATTTTCACACGTCATACCTGCACACAATTCATCATAATGTGTATTTATCCATACATCTAAAGGATTTGATGATAATTCAATTAAATCTTGTTTGGCTTCAGTCATCGGTATGATTCGTACATTAAATGATGAAAGGTCGTAATTGATAAAATACGTCAGTAAATTATCATAAAATTCCTTTGTGCATGAATCCATCAAATTCTTGAAGTAATCAAATTGACCCTTGAATTTACCATTAACTCTTAAAACTACGTATCTTCTGTCTCCAACTTCAATTTTGACAGGGTAAACGTTATTAGTTACCAAAATGAAGTTTGCAACATTCTGAGCAGTTCTTCTGGGTTGATTCTTTTCATTAATTCTAATCTCATTATCCGTAATAATTGATTTCAAAGCGTTGAAGTTTGCGAGTCTATCTTCACCTACATTCTTGAGTTCATTAAGTACAAGAAACATTTTATTCTCAACTACTGAATTGAAATTACCCGTTAGCTCACTTATTTCAGTAATGTTTTTACATGAATAACCGGCGAGAAGTTCAGAAATAATGTCTGTAAATCTGTTTTTACCTGTTCCCTGAAGTCCTTTCAAAATAATTGCTGTTTCATTCTTGATTCCAGGATGTTGAATCATTGATGCAATCCAGCCGAGAAGGTATTTATACACTTCATCGTTATTATCACAAATGGCTTCTTTAATGAAATTCATAAACATCTCAATTTTTGAGTAATCTGGTTTTTCGAGAATGTTGTATTTATAACCCTGAAACGTTGAGAAAACATCTGGGGAATCAGATTTAAAGCAAACACCCCTAACGGTTAATGAAGACAATTGATTTAGTAGTACATCCCATGCTGTTATGGTTTTACCTTCTTCTTTAAATAATTTAATCATTTTGAGTGACTCTTTCATGTTTGATTGAAGAACGAATGATATTTGATTCATTTTGTCGTGTATGTTGTAATCTTTCTGAATGAAGTATTTGTTTCCACAATCTACAAAACGGATTACACGTGATAAATCCTCAATTACTTCAGAACTGTTTTTATACTGATGATTTTCAGCCTTGCGTCTAATATCTGTTATCAAAAACGAGTCGTCAAGTTTGATATCAAATGTTATTTTTGGCTTACGTAATAAAGGTAAAACATATTCATCATAATATTCCTTTTGATATAGTTTTAGAATCTTCACTAAAACAAATGGAGAAGTCATTAAATGTGCATATCTATTACGTGCTTTTTCAAAATTACTTTTTGCATTTTCAGTTAAATTGCAGAAGTTATAAACGTTATCGTATGCTTCATTAATTAAATGATTAGGTAACGAATTAATAGCTTGAAACAGTGTGAATAATGTTATTTCTTTTTCTAAATTCATGTTTCCACCGTCATTATGTACTTCAAAATCACAGATGCCATCAACTATGCTCTGGGCAAGTTTATCGTCAATGTTTACATCTTTGTTTTCATTCATGATAGTCTTTATTTCTTCATTCTTCTGTTCAACTCTTACCTTAATATTCAAATCATTTAATATATCATTCACTGTTCTAGTTAATGTTGAATCATAACTTCCCACGAATGAATGAGTATGTATTGATTGGTTCTGTTGCATTCTTGCGAACTCTTGAATCAGCCATAACCACTAAAGAACGCTTTGAATCATCCATTGAAGTCATTATGTCAATATCATAATCATTGCAAGAATAACATTTAATCATTCTGTTCGAGGTTGAATAGAAGAAATTAGTGTTGCAATAAATGTGAAGACCTCCTGAAGCGGTTTTAACGATAACATCTTTATCCGAAAGTTTTGATAAAATGTCTTTTCTAACTGTTTCTTTAAGTTCATCATTGTATGATTTATTGATATCAACATCTATAATCGTTAAATTTGAAATTTTATTTACTAATAAAGCCATACCAGTTTTCCTTCCTCTTCCTCCATCATGTTTGAGGTAGTTATGTAAATCAATCCTGTTTTCACCAATTCTTTCGTTGAGGGTTTTAGTTTCTGCCACAACTAATTCCTCAGCTAATGAATCAATAACTTTTTCATCAGAAACGATATAGTTGTTGTTGTTGTTTGTTGCTGTCATTTATATAGGAATAAAAAATAAAAATAATTTTAAAACTAACTTTATTTTTGGGCTGCATCATATTTCCTGTGTTGTTGTCAAAATGTCATGTTGTCACACTTTTTCAGAGAAGTTAAATGACCTGGTAGCACATGGTAACATGGTAGCACCTTCAGTTCTTTTCATTAACTACCTTCCTCCTGAACTGTTGTCAAAATGTCATGTTGTCACACTTTTTCAGAGAAGTTAAATGACCTGGTAGCACATGGTAGCATGGTAGCACCTTCGGTTATTCAAAAATAAGTCATAACTACCTTCCTCCTATGTTGTTGTCAAAATGTCATGTTGTCACACTTTTTCAGATAAGTTAAATGACCTGGTAGCACATGGTAGCATGGTAGCACCTTCGGTTATTCAAAAATAAGTCATAACTGCCTTCCTCCTGTGATGTTGTCAAAATGTCATGTTGTCACATTTTTTCAGAGAAGTTAAATTACCTGGTGACCACCTGGTGACCTGGTGACCCCTTCGGTTATTCAAAAATAATTCATAACTGCCTTCCTCCTGTGATGTTGTCAAAATGTCATGTTGTCTCACTTTTTCAGATAAGTTAAATGACCTGGTAGCACATGGTAGCATGGTAGCACCTTCGGTTATTCAATAATAATTCATAACTGCCTTCCTCCTATGTTGTTGTCAAAATGTCATGTTGTCTCACTTTTTCAGATAAGTTAAATGACCTGGTAGCACATGGTAGCATGGTAGCACCTTCGGTTATTCAATAATAATTCATAACTGCCTTCCTCCTATGTTGTTGTCAGCAATGAGGTCATGAATGAGGTCATTTATTTTTGTCAGCAATGAGGTCATTCGTGATAAAAATAAAGCTAGCGTAGATTTTACAATACTGCGATGGTAGAGTTTAAGAGTTGTGCTTCAATGTAGAGACAGTCCTTCCCATCTGGAGGCAAGAACACTGGACATTTATGGTCATGAGTGGAGAACATGTCTATCCAAAACTCACGATTGAAGCCAGTTAATTTATAGTATTTAGGGTTAGGAAGTGGTGAAGTTCTTGTATGACCAATGAACTCATTTTCAACGCCTTTGGCTATATTAGAGAAAAGAATAGCTTGCTTTCTATCCCAAATGCCAGGTGTTACAATCTTTGAAAATTCATTTTTCCTCGGAAGCATTGCATCATAATTGAAAACATTCTTGAAATCATCACTTGGTTCAGAGATTTGAAATCTTATACGTAATGGATTTTCTTTCTCTTTAGCGACTTCATTGAATGGTGAGAATACAACAAACTGACAGTCATGTGTTCCATCTTCATTTTCATTAAATTCATAATGAAAGTCTATAAGTTGTGGCTGACTACCTTCTTCTTTCAGTTGTGCAAGAAACTCACGTAAAGGCTGTAAAGTTTGTACTTCAATGTTAAACTTTTTCTCGAACATTTCATTAAATGAAATCATACATTGCAACAATGTTGTATCGTCTTTAAAGTATTTGTATATGTGAATGTTTTGGGCGCTTAAAGACTGTTCGTCATTTTCTATCTCGACTTGAAGTATAAAGTCAACCTTTCTGAAAGCACGTGTTATATACATAGATGTTATGCCAATGTACTTCTCTTCATTTATGTTCACAATCCAGTCTGTTGGAAACTTAAACGTTACTCTGTTCCCCTTTATTTTGACGTCAGGGTTTTCACTACTGAACGCAACAGATAAAGGTATTTGTCTATACATTTAATTCGGATAAAAATAAACCATTTACTCTTTCTTTGCTTCAGCTTCTTTAGCTTTTGCTTCTTCTCTAGCTTTTTTCGCCAGCAAACGTGGGTTCTTCTGTCTTCCAGCAGCTAATGCAGCTAGTTGTTTTTCACTAAGTTTTCTCTTTGGTCTCTCTGGCTTTTGTTCTTGTTTTTGTTCCTTCAGTTCGGATAAAATTTGCTCGCGAATTTCTTTCTTCAATGCTTCAACATCTATGACCCCTTGGGTCTTGTCCATATGACTTGTCTGAGTCATTTGACTGTAGATAAAAAACTAACTTAAAACTTTAACCGATGTAAAATGAGCTTGTCAAAATCAGAGCGAGAGTCTATTATATTAAATGACGCAAGAGGAATACAACATCCTTTCTATTACGTAAGTCAGAGTAAAGATGGTAAAATATACGTAAGAAAAAGAAAGGTACCATTAGCGAATGCAGAGAGCGACAACATTAAGGTGCATGGCAAGGGTGAAGTCCACGAAGCCCATATAAAACCTTCTGTTCAAACTGAGCCACCAAAAGAACAAGAAGAAAAGAAGCCAGATGTACTTTCAATAACGAACCAAGAGCTTATTGCAAAGTTCGTGAATTTCATTGAAAAACAAACCGAGTCAAAGAACCCTGACCCGCCAGTGAAAGAAGTTGAGACAAAAGAGAATGTACAGTTCATTGAAAATGTCAAGAAACAACTTCCACACACGAATGCCAAGAAGAAGAGTGAGAATAATGAAGTAAATAGATATTTTTATCCGAAGTAAATACATGCAGAACGAACAGTTAAACGAATTTACTCCAGCAGAGCATATTCATCAGATTCGCTCATATTTCGATATCATAGACAATGCAGTTCAAATTGGTGACACTAATAGAAAATATTCTGACGCAAAGATTCCATCACAACCTGGAACTGCTAAAGATAACACATGGGTAACATTCAATCTCTCACCTCCTGGTGAAAATATGTTGGACCTTTACAATACATTCATTACGTATAAAATGGAAGGTCAATTTATTGCAGATAAAGAAATTGGTTCAGGTTCCAATAAAAACAAACCCACCAGGATTTTGGATTGGTTTCGATGACGCTTTCTATGCAGTTGCTGGATATCAAATCCTTGCAAATGGTCGTATCGTATATTCTCAAGACAACGCAAGAGAAGAAGCATATATAACTTCAAACTCACAAACTACCGAACAAATAAAGAAAGTAGATGTTTTCTCAAAGACTCGACATGAAGATGTATGGAGTCATTCGGGAACATGCAGAACAGGACAAATTGTTAGTGGTCCAATTACAGCAGGAAAATCATTTGATTTTAAGCTTCGTTTAAGAATTCCTGTTAGAAGATTCCTTCCATTAGAAGCTATTCGATTTATTCCTGCATTTGCTGGTAACATTCAGCTTAAAGTAAAGTTCAGTAGCGACGCCTTACAATGCACATCTATATCTGTAAATGATATCATTGCTTTCAATCCAACTCTTAAAGTTGCATTTGCTTCAGATTCAAATCCACCGACAAATAAATTTGTTCCATGGAATGAACCATTCACTATGATAACGAAGGCAGTAGAAGCTAGTGGAACAGTTACTATTACAACTGTAAACCAGCAACTATTTCGAACAAAGATGGATTTTAATGAATGTTTCATTCATCCAAAGTCATTCTCTTTAGACCCTAACATTTATACAGAACTTGTAGAACATTATACAAACGAGGCTTTATGTTTTCCTGTTAAAGTTATGGATTGGATTCCTATGGACGGTTCATTCTCAAAGAATACAGATAGTTCAAGTGCAACATTTACAGCAGCTTATACGCCTATTAATGTTAAAAGTATTTGGGCACTATTTAGAAAGAAAGACAACTATTATGTTAATTTTGAGAACCCTAAGTTTAAATATCTTCAGCTTTCCATGGGAGCTTATGGAAATATGCCTGCAGAACCTGAAAAATCATATGGACCTGTATTTTATGAAATGGTTGCGAACGCTTGCAATACAAACAATGATATGATTGGATTTAATGAAGATGTTATGAGGTCATTGGTGGATGATGGTAGTGTGGAACATAAATGGGATAGCTATGACAACACACATTTCTTATGTGGTTTTCCAACAGAAGTGGACTTTTGCTTCCAGCAAGGTCAAACATCTACTGCTCCAATAACATACAAATTGTCTGTTAAAGGACCTATTGAACTAGCAACTGAAAACGTACCAAAGCCACTTATTGGATTTATGAGGGATTGTTGCTTTGCAATACAAGTAAGACAGTCAGGCATACCAATAATAAGACTTGACGACTATAACTTAGCCACGGACGACAGTGAGGAATAAAGGATGAACGTTTATTTTTAAAGCTTATAAATGAGTTCTTCATCAAGCTCTCGTGAACCTTCACCATCTATGAAACAAACTTTACCAAACGATTATGGAGCACCTATTGAATATTTCTTACGAGCTGCACAATGGCAAAGAGCAGTCTCACCAAGGTTAGGTGTTCCACCAGCTCCTGTCAAAAATAGCATTTGGTCAAGTCCTTATATAAAATATGGTCTCCCACTAGGTTTGCTAGCTACAGCAGGAGCAGTAATGATGTTGAAAAGAAATAAAGCAAATGTTATAAATAATACTGAAGTAGCTGAATTTGAACAAACTCCGACACCATCGCCAAAACCAACGTCAAACCAACGCCTTCACAAACAACACCTTCAATGACTCCTGAACCTATGAAAGTACAAACTCCTGTTCAAAAGTCAACTCCAAAACCGACTCCAACATTTAAACCAGAACCTACTCCTCAAATAAATCGTAAAACTCCTGCGTTTCCTTACTGAAAAAATAATGTTAGTTTTATTTTATTTGAACATTTTATTTAGAGTAAAATGACGACTAAAGTCACTGAAGCAATGAAACAAAAATTTTTGGTAGAATACATTAAATCAGGAGCGGTTCCAGAAGGTTTTTACGTTCATACTATGAAGGATGGTAGAGTTCAGTTTAGAAAGATAAAGCAACCATTAGATAGAGAAGGTATATTAAGGAAGATTAAACTTCATGAGGACAACATTGCTGAACTTAGGAAGAAGTTAGAAGAGTTGGAGAAAGGAAGAGAGTTATAAAGCAATGAATTCAAGTGGGTGAAAAAAGAGGTGAAAAAAGAGGTGACATCTCACCACTTCACCTAAATTTATTTTTATGCTATGTTTTCATACGTGTGAGGGTGGTGATATCATTAATTTTAAGTTTATTTTTAAGTTTATTTTTTATTTTATTTTGGATGTAAATGACGAAAACTATTGAGATAACAAACTACAACGGTCATGAGTTCAAGAATTTGTTCTTCGTTCCTCGTGAAAATACATTCTATCAGATACGAGGGAGAAAGGGTAAAGTTAGTTTGAGCGTTTATGAAGGAATGAAGAATGGAAAGTTTATACAAGCATACGATACAAACGGTAAACGTGTTTCATTAGCTTTGTCAAAACTTACTAACATTCATTTTGACAGTGACTTTGACATATATGAAGAAGAAAGTGAGTCAGAAGATTATGAGCTGTTATGTGAAGCACAGCAATGGGAGGAGTTGCAATACTTTTGTAAGTGAGAACGTTTATTTTTACATTAGTGAGTTCGTTAGTGAAGTGAAGTGGTTGGCGGCTTTGTAAATATTTAAGGTTAAGTTAGTGTTGTCGTTTGTGTTGTCGTTTGTGTTGTAAAATATATGTTAACGGTTTTGTAAAGTGTCAAAACCGCTAAGTGGTGTACGGAGGCGCGCAGTGCCGCTGTACACGAGACTTGTATACTAACTATAAATTGTTGCGATCAAACATTCCATTGTATGCATTTACTGGCAAAATCAAAGATTTTCACATTTTCCCTTTTTTATATTTCTTTTGTCAACCAGACACTTATCAAAACATTCAAGTTTGCGTGTGCGCCTATCTCAGATGGGTAACAATTGAGCCAGAATACATTAGCATGGACTGTGCTCCACAGATAGCTCAAGCAATAGAAGAAAGCATTCCACAAGCTCAAATACTTTGGTGCGGAGTACATGTTCTTCGTGCAATTCTTCGCAAATCAAATAAGTTTTCTTCTCAAGAAAAATTTGAACAATTCTATAATTTGATGAAGGATTTAGTATTCAAATTAGATGCAGAACATGAGGAAGAAGCAAATGCTGCCTATGATCAAGTTCTGGAGTTGCTCGACACAGATCCAACAGCATCTCAATACTTTAACAGACAATGGCGTTACAACATATCAAGATGGATTGCTCGTGACAGGCGTGAAGGCGACGCAACTAACAATATTGCCGAAGCTCATTTTAGAACACTCAAACATGACTATTTTCCTGATCGAAAAAATCTCAGAATTGATGATGTTATTATAGAAATTTATACAAAAGTGATACCATCTTTCGTTATCAAACTCAAAATTGATCAAAATCCAGCAGATGACCGTGTTATTAGGATCATGGAAAAAGCAACTAACGCAGAAATTGATGTAAAAAGACAAAGAAAAATCGAGAGTATTTCAATGCTCAATAGATTGCTCAATGCTGTTAGTGATGACTCAATAGATCCCACTAAAATGTATCCTACCTTGAAAGTATTATTACAAAGAACTCATTTTATTTAATTTTGATTTTAATTTTAGATTAAATTATTAAATTTTAATTCTTTATTTTTTAGGATTGTTAGCTTTGTAAGATTGCTTTCTCACAAGAGAAAACAAGTATAAGGTTTAAGCTGTATGTATTAAAGTTATAAATATTTGATTTTAAAAAAAAATCAAGATTTTAAACTTTAAAGGTATTAATTATGATTATCTTTCTTTAGCTTTACATGCTGTATGCTACTTTTGGAAACTGCTCTATTGTATTAGAATGTTTTTAAATTTTGCACCTAAAAATGCGTAATATTAAAAATTAAGGTATTAATTATGATTATCTTTCTTTAGCTTTACATGCTGTATGCTACTTTTGTCTTTGAGACATTCCATGATTTAAGTTAAGAAGCTTTAAAAAAATGCAAAAAAAAATGTAATAAAATAAAAAAATTTTTAGTATCGATAATCTGAAATATGTTGTTTACTTAAACCGCGAGCGAAGCGAGGCACTTAGTTTCGTAATTTCATACAATCTTTTTTCGAATCTGTTCTTTTTGTCAACCGCGAGCGAAGCGAGTGGCTTTTTATTTTTTAAAATTTTTTTCTTTCTTACTTTTTTTCCCTTACTTACAAATTTGATAGTAACTTACCAAATCTCTCTATCATATAATAATAAATTAATCCATTTTTTGTTTCAAATTTGACACTTTACATTTCTGACATGTAAACCTATCATTTTTCACTTCACCTCATTGGGCAAGTTTGTGCCCCCCTCTATTTTCAGCAGTAAAATATTCCTTGCACCAATCATAATAAATAATGAAAAAATTAATTCATTATGAATAGCCATATTAATTTGAGAATATGTTGCATGTTAATTTTAATGATTGTGAAAGATTTTAAACGAAAAAATCTTAACCTGATCTAACCTATCTGCTTGTTAAAAAACATCCCAAAATTATTATTTTGATTAATGAAATATCAAAATAAAGTCTATCACAACAAAATTATGAAATTTTTAAATATGATTAGCCAAAAGCAGTAAACACATAGCAATCAATTTTTAATGCAAGAGTTATTGGTTTTCTAGTCTATATATCAGAAAAAGTAAAAAAATTATTAAATCAAGTCCGAATTAAGTATATCTACTATGGTGTGATTGTACTAAGCCATAAATGGAAGTGAATATCAAATATTTTGAAGATATAAAAATCTTGAAAAAAAATAATGAACCAAATCTATTACAAATTGTTTTTAAGACTGTATGTCTTCCATATAAGGGAAATTTATCAATATCTTTTATTTTATTGATAATTCAATCAAATTCGAAATTTTTCATCCAATCATTGATTATTTGATGTTGAACAAATACTTTATAGTTATATTTATCAGAAAAAGTAATTTAATTTGAATTATCCATGAGAGAAATCCGCTATTGTCGAAAATCCTAACCACCTGAAGTGATATTTTTGCAAAATAATACATATATTAATAATGCCATATAGGGTGCAATCTATTGAGTAGTGTGCGATTGGTTATCTCCAAACTTTTATTTTCAATCTGAAATCGTAGAAAGAATTGCATCGATTTGGTAATCGAAGGTTATTTAAGTTCATCCTTACCTTCATAGAAAAAATGTGTGTGTATTTCGAATAACAACGAACGTTTACAAACAAATAACAAATCTATTAATTTAAACAATGGAAAATATCATACAAGCACGCATGTTTTTTAACTGCACCTTAGAATAAGAAACCGTCGGGTGCATCGAATGGCTGGGAATTGTCCATATCTACGTGTACACTGATCCATATTGTTGGAGGATTAAGCATTTTAGAATCGGAATGAAGCTCAAACTTCTCTGTGACAACCGAATTGGGTTGAAAACCTGATATCGCTAAGTAGATAGCGCCAACAAATTTATCCTCACGTGGATGGTGTTCGTAAAGAACGATGTAGAAAGATGAAGAGTTCTGGTTATCAACTGTGAATTCCCAGGTGTGATCGAAGTTATTTCGCTGAGTAGACTTAAATAAGTGTTGAGTTCCAAGACTAAGTTTCTTGGTTCCAATATTGAGAATTAGATCAGAGACATTGGAGGATGTGTAAGATCCAAGTTCAATACTTCTGACTTGGACGTAAACTTTAGGAGACATCAAGATTATGAGAAATTTATACCTCAGAAAAAATCGAGGTTTTGTATGCTAAATGAAATTAATTGTGAACTTTACGGATTTTAAAGATTTAGGAATCAAGCAGCATTATGTATTCTGTGTATAAGTTAGTCGGGATAAAACGTTTTTTAAGATACGATAAATATAAATTTTGAATACGATTAAAAGTTAAACTTTAATCGTTTCTCCACACAAAATATTAATCACTATTTCTTGAATAATATGATAGAATATTACTCGTAGGTTATATTTTACAATAATGAATCAGAAAGGATTATTGTGAAGGTTAACTAGATTTCATTTGAAAAATATTCAGCATATGCTACTAAAGTGTTTAATTAAGCGTTTCGTTTTGCGAAAAAAACGTACAATACGCAATTTCGCTAAAAAAACATTTAGCTAGCAATTTCGACCTTTGACTCCACTCAAGACGTCACTTTTTTAATTTTGCGGTATCATATTTTTGGAAAATCTTTATGAATATTATATAAAAAGTCTCTTTAATATCTATATTTCATATTTTTATCGATTTTTAAAGTTTTTGCGAAAAGTATTCAATTATTTTTGCTATTTGGTCGGGTAAATGTCAGATTTGCGACATTTTCTGATATGATTTTCAGATTCTACGTTGATAATAATGCTTATAGAACCCTCTTGCTATTGTGTCAAAATTGCGAAACCGATAGCAAAAATATCTCGCAATATCAAAATTGAGATATTGAGTGAATTATGCATTATAGAGATTAAAAATCTGATTTGTGAAAACATCTCATCAGTTTCTAGCTAATTCAAAAATCTTTACTATCTTATTCGATTAAAATGAAAAGGGAATAGTTTCATTATGTTTTAAATGACAGCCTTATAATATAATCATAGTTTTCGCTCAATATGCAGCATTTTTTTTTCGAAATCTATGGTCAATGTCCTAAATACTGATTGCTTTGCATTCATATCTCTTACATTTTCTATACCCACATCACTATTCATTGCTATTCCTATCTTTTTCATTTTTGTTTGTTTCTCATAATTTCTCAAAAAACACGATAACTTGATATTTGTAAATATCATACTTTATAACGTAAATAAGAACTTGACCTATTAAGAAAAGCAGTAATGAAAAGAAAATCTGAAATTCATAAAAATTACAAGTTTCTGATGACAATTAGCTTAATTAAACCAGGTACAAGATTATATAATTGTATTTTCTATCCAATTATCCATATAATATCTTATCCAGAAAAAATAACTTGATCAATACCAAATGATTTTTTAACTAGTAAATAAAGTATTTTCTTTACACACACATTGTATATCATAGTTTTTTTTTGGTTTCGCAAAACATCCAAAAACAAATATGCTATAAAAGTGACAATTTTAGCAAAACGAAACCCTTATTGAATATATAGGAAATCAAATAATTATGCATAATCGCATAAAAAATGCTGAAACAATGAAAAGAAAAAAATGAAGACTTGTTTGCAGCCTTATATGGAGGTGTATAAAAATATTATAATAAAACCATTCAATTTGTCATATAATTTCCTATTAAAATTTATAAATCTTTAATTTAATAGTTGATAAATATGAATAATTGAAAGAAAATTATAAATACAATAGTTTTGTAGTATAATTTTTGGAAATAAATTACTAAAATTTTAATTTTTTGGAAATTTGATATTAAAAATTGAATTTTTTCAAATTGATTTTTATTGATGATTTTTTTAAAGAGTTCTAATCCCCGAGCTGAAAACTCACGCAATACGAGAGTGATTTGATTTATCTACAAAACAAGTTAAAATTTAGTGAATTTCCAGAATATTAGTTTTCATCAACTGAATCCTAAAAAGATTGGGACAAAGTTTTCATACTTTATGATTTTTTCAATCTATATTAGCACAAAAACCAGCAAAAAATCTTCTTGAATGTACGTTTATAAATAAAGAACTTCGATGGATTCGATTATTGTAGACACAGAAGTCATAGGAAGCGATGGAGCTGTCAACAAAAGGCGAATCTTATACGAATTTCAAATAAAAAATAGTGGAGGAGCCGTTACAGGGGATTTTATACTTCAAATTACAGATCCTTCAGATCCAGGCTTTCTCTTTGATATGATAATGCCATCAAGCAACTTTTCTAAAATTAAATCAGAATTAAATCTTCTATGCGAGTTTATAGATTTCCCAAAAAGTTTTAACAAATTGCTTTCAAATTGTAATGATCACTCTAGTTGGCAATTAATAATTGATTCAAAGTCATTTGATGTACCTATGCTAGTTATTCGTGAACGAACAGAGTTTAACATCATTTACCATCTTAAACTACAAGTTGAACAAGCTTCTGATGCTAGACTGAACGAATATCTTACTTCAGAGGTTAAAAAATACAAATTACTTGCAGAACAAAATTCTAAAAAAGTTGAACAACTTGAATCAAATGTTATTAAAACAACTGAACAATCTCAAACAATGACGAAGCAACTCGAACAGAGTTACAAAGATCAGCTAGAAGAACTTACTCAAGCTAAAACACAAATAATTCAAGAATACGAATCGAAATTGAGATTAATCAAAAGCCGATTTAATTCTGAACTAAAATCCATTGATGAGAAAAACAAATCTCAATTTCAGCAATTAACTCATCAATATGATGGCCAAATTCAGCAATTAACTTCTGAAAACAAAGAATTAAAAGAATCTAAGTATGAATTAAATGCTACAATTGCTAAATATACAGAAAGAGTTCAGTTACTTGAGTCCCAAGTGAATGAACTCAAATCAGATCTACAACGCAAAGAAGAAGATGGAAAGCAATTTAATTCAACTTTACTACAGACAACTCATAATGAAGCTACACTTAAATCAATGAATAGCTCACTTATGAATGAAAATTCTCAACTTAAACAACAAATAGAAAAAAATTCACAGCAAATCAACCAATATGTAGAACAAATTCGAAAGATATTAAGTGAATCATCGCAAAAAGATAGCATAATAGAAGAAATGAATCATAAAATATCAGAATACCAAGAACAGCTTTCTCAGTTTAATATGATTAAAGTAAAATCCAAAGAAGTTATTGAGAAATATCTCTTTCAGAATAATGAGTTAAAAGCAAAATATTCTGAATTATATAATGACTACCAAAAAGATGAAGAATATATCAACCAGTTAAAGCAAAGCCTCGAAAAAGGTAGCGAGATTCTAAACCAATATCAATCTCAAATACAGGAACTCAAAGAAAAGAACGATGAACTATCTTTAGAGGTAAGTGATTTACATAATAATCTTCAGGTCTCAGAAAGTACAATTAAAACTCTAGAAATCCAATTAGAACAGAAAAGTAGTGCATTTAATCCACAACTAACTTCTTTTGGATTAAAAACGAACCAATACGGGCTGAATAACGATTCAAGTGTTAGAGGTCAGCTTTGGAGTAGTTTAAATTAATTGTTAATATGTTTTGAATAAAATGTTTGTTTGTAAGCACAATTAAAATAACAACAGAAGCACATTAATATATTTAAATAGGAAGCATTATCTATGCCAATAATATTTTATCAAATTCGAAATTTATGCATAGCAAAGTTATGACTCGGCAGAATCGATTTAAAACATGATAAAATATGAGTGGGTAATAATATAATATGATTTTACAGAAATATTTATCGAGATTGCGATATCTTCTCAAAAGTTATGATAATACATATTTGTAATAAATAATTATTTCTAAATAAATTTTAGCCATAGTTTAAATTTGAATTCAAATTCAAATTTTTATTTTTGACAAAAAATCGGCTATATCTTATTGTGTATATTTTTATTTGAATATAGATTTTTCAATAATTCAAAGATTTTACATTGATTTTATTTCATATTAAAAATTAAATAGCAAATGCCACATATCATAAATGACGATAATTTTGATGTCAATGATTTTGAAAATTGACAGATTGAAAATTTATTTTCAAATCAAAGAAAATCAATGAATCTATTTCCATTTAAATATAAACGATTTCTGAATGATAAAACTTTTGACAACCGTTTTCGATTATAATTTGAGAAGAAAAATGGTTTCTTTATTATCAAAATAAAACAATGATGTCTATATGCTCTCGCTCAATATCAAACTTTTCCATTATGGAAACTTTAAGAACGGCAGCTAAAAAAGTTGCAAAAGAGTTCAACGAACCGGGGATATCAAGAAAATACTCAACTTGGGGAGATTGCCTCTTTAATGAAGGTATGTCTATTAAAGATCAGACAAAATTTGATAGATATACCAAGCTAATACGAAGCGATATTGAAAATTTACATCAATTAGCTCTTAGATCTCAACGATAAATTGTTGTTATTTTATTTTTGTTATTAATCATTTGTAAATATACTTGTTATTGTAGATATACTTTTAATTTTTATCTTTCACTATATTCAATACAGCTAATATTCTTTACTTTTATCCTGAAAACATTGTTTAACTAAAATTACACATTTGCTTGATACACATTTTCAGTATTGGAGTCATCAGATATATTCATTTAGTCAATTATGACTATTCCATGATTATCCCAAAAAAGTTTCGAGATAATAACATTTTTCTATGAGTTGCCTCAATTTTAAAGTTCAAAAATCAGCAACTTATATAGAAAACCTTTTATCCCAAGATTAATAATTTTTACTTTTGAGCCATATTTGTTATAATTTTTAGAATAATTGGGTTCAATTTTATTTATTTTAGTAAATCGATCTCATATATACTACACTAACAAATGCTACAAAAGTATTCATAGACTTGTGTTCATTGAAACGCTTCTAATTCTTAAGATTTCCATTGTAATAAATTCTTATGATTTCATAATATTAAATCTTTCTTTAACACATCTTTCCTAATTATTTTGTTATCAATTGAAGATATAACAAAAGGAAACTTGCTATTCTCTGCAAGTATTATTTTTACAAAAGTTTGAACAACATTTTCATGAGATTTGGAACTAAAGCAATTCATGATGAAAATCAAATTGAATTTTTTTCATTATTTTTTTTTAAATGAATTAAATCTCAATATTTCAATTGAATTATCAAATAATTTAAAATAAAATCAAAGAGTTGTTCCATTATTTGATATAAGTTTTATTGTTTAAAGAGTTCAACGAGATTATGCATTCGCCAATTTAATTTTCCTTGTATTATGATGAAGAACTAATATATAAATACTTGCACCATTATGCGTTATAGTTCTTGCTTTGACCTCACGACTATTAATAACGTATTTGAAAGAGCGTAAATTTTGAAAATAAATGTTACTTTGATATTTTCCCATGTAAATGAATTATTACACTTCCTCTAATTTCAGTACAACGGTTTTATATCGGAATTAATCTGAAGAATTCGAATTAGATGATATTTACATTGCGATATATGAGGTATTCAATTTACAGAAGAACTCAAAAAGAATTTCCTCTCAAAAATATAATAAACAAACAATCTATTATTCCATATATACAATAAAACATTATTAATTTCCAAAATAAACGCAAATTTTTATTCTTATTTTATTATTCGATTTTTATGCTTTCTTTTCAACAATTCTTTGTTCCCATGCTTATTAAACGAATTCTTTTATCTTCTGATCCGGCAATAGAAGGATCAACAATGACAATATCTACTCCAGAAGACGAAAAGAATACAATTTTGAATAAACGACTCGTTATCAACAATAATATTGATACAATAATAATAAGCGGTACAGTAGAAACAATTACTTCACAAGAGGCTTATAGACTTGTTAAAAAATTTGAAGTTAAAGCCGAAAAAGTTGAAACACTTCCAGATTATGCATTTTACAATTCACTATTCATAGAAACGTTTATCCCAGGTAATATCAAAACTATTGGCCAAAGTGCATTTTTATCCAGCACACTTTCATCAATTAATTTCGATAAAATTGAAGTTATCAATCAATATGCATTCGATAATTGCTACAATCTTCCAAAGGATATCGAACTTACTGCAATTAAGGAATTGGGAGCATATACATTCTCGAATTCGAACATCGAATCAATTCATGTCGCTGGTGGAACTGAAATATCCAATTACTTTGCATATAACTGCTATCAACCTTCGAAAGTTACTATTTCTTCTACCATTACAACTATTGGGGATTATGCTTTCTGTCAATGTCGAAAATTAACTTCTTTTGACTTTACATCAATCACAGAAATTAAACAATTTGCTTTTTATAATTCAGGACTTGAACAAGTAGAGTTTAATGCTATCGCTACTATTCATAATTCTGCATTTTCGAATTCAAATATTAAATCAATTTCATTCAAAGAGCAGGAAACCGGAACGATAAATATCGAACTTTATTCATTTGCTAGTTGCTACCAACTTACCGATCTAAAATTGCCAAAGAACGCTAAGATTACTTATTTTTCATTTGATTCATGCATTTCACTCAAAACTGTAACTGCTACTCTCGATGTAGTTGCTGGATTTTCAAATTGTTCATCATTAGAATCGTTTACAAACAATTATAAACAGACAGATCCCTCTCAATTTCGATGCAGCATATTACAATGTGCATTTTATAAATGTTCTAAGCTAAAATCGATTAATCTTGCCGAAGTAGGATATGTTGACGACTATGCATTTGCTTTTTGCACAAGTTTGGAAAGCATCGGAGATTATTCTTTTTCATCGGTTGGCAGAATGGGATTTGCCTATTGTAAATCACTTGTTATTGATAAATTAACATCAGTTAGCACCATTGGTGAACTATCTTTCACATATTGTACTTCAATTAAAACAATGACAATTACAGGTACTAGAAATATCAATAAATATGCATTTGCTGGATGTACAAACCTCGAAACTCTATTTATTAATGTAACTGAAACAACTACTATAAATTACCCAGATTTGCTTTACTTTTACCACTCCCCATGTAATTTCTGGGGAAAACGATAATTCATTTTTTTTATGGATGAATAGATCGTTTTCCTAGAAAGGACCTCATATCTCTGGCTAAAAAGAGTGTCAGATCCTAAATAGGTTATTGATCTAGTGTACAAATCCAATAAAAAGCCTATTTTTTTGGCTTTTTTGGTGCTCATTTTTTCGAAGATCTACATGAATATGGGGAAACCATCGGATTTTTTTGGTTAACCCACATCTTCATGTAGTCTGGACTATCTTTCCTCGAAGGACCTCTTTACGGGTGTAAAAACTCATAAAGTTCTCAAAAGATTCATTCTCGATCTCCATGCTGAAAGAATTTACAATAAAAAAGAGATCTACGCATCAAACTACAGCCATAAATGAACTGAACCCCTAAAGCTCAGCTCTTAGTTTATCAAAAACGTCGAAATCCTTCTCATTGCAATCAAATTTTCTCAATAACTCATAAGAAAAATCGAATTTTGATTAAGCCGATGTTATAGGTATCACAAATACTACAAACTTGAGCAATATCGAAATTGCCAGCAAAAGTTTGAAATTGCATTGCTCATATTTGTTTTGTAAACTAAAATCTGCTTATATTATTCATTAATTTTTTATATATTATTCATATACTTTAATAAAAACAATACTATTTCACCTTAAAAATGAATTTCATAAGTCAATATTATTTTTTTGAAAATGTATCAATTTTCGATTAAAACAACATGAGAATAAAATTTACGCAAATTATTTTAAAAAATGGTTTTAAAAATTTACAATTGATGAAGAATAAGATTGCAAGAAGTTTTGAAGTTTAATTTTAAGAAAAAAAATTCGGATATTATTCATGGATCTAAGTAATCTGATATTTGAGTATCGGCACTATGCATAAAACATATATTTATAGTTTTGTTGGATTTTTATGATTTTAAATATATTCAAATTTGGCAATCCAATAGATTTTTAAAAAATAGGTAAATAAAAATAGATTACATATGCAGCAGATTTAGAACATGAAACAAATCTTATAGTGACCCAAAAAAAAAATCATGATCCAAAAAAGAAAAAAATTGGGTAAATGGGAATCAAACCTTAGCATAACGAATCATTATGTCAGATGTTTCCACTACACTACACCAGCAGTTCGAAAAATACCCTTGGTGGTTCTATTTAATAGCTACTCCCAACGATAGGCGGTGTCCCCAGCTTTCGAGAGGTGGTAAAAGTAAAGCAAATCTGGGTATTATGCGTTTTTGAACTGTTCAAAATTAAAAGATGCAAAAATTGTTGTAACAGGCGATGATGCTAAATATCAATTATATACGACAGCATTTACAAACACATCCATTACAGAATTTGATTTCAAAGGACTTGCTAATAATAATTACAATGGGGTATCTGGTCTTGAAAATTGTCCAGAACTTGTAAAAGTAACCGTTCAAGAATCAGAATTTCCAATGTTTCGTTATCTTCCTAAGCTCGAAACGATCATATTTAATGAGACAAGTTTAGTAGTATGTCTTCTTCGAAGTCGTATCAGTTACTGTCCAAATTTACAAGATATAATTTCTTACATTGATGGCAAAAATGAATTAAAAATTGAAAATGGATATATTTATAAATCTGACAAATTAATTACGGTTTTGCCATCAAAAAGTGACACAGCCAACGTTGTATTAAATGAAACAATGGGTGATGACTTTTTCTTACAAAATTCAAAACTCCAAGAACTAGAAATTACTGCTCCAGAACTATCTTATATGGCTTGTAGTGACTTGCAAGGTCTTAAAACGGTAACAATAAATTGTTTTAGAATAGGTTATAATTGCTTCGAAAATTGCATCAATTTGACTCTCGTAAACGAAAAAGGGGATTTGACGGAGTCAAATCCCCGCTCACAAAAAGTGGACTTTACATGTCAAATTTTATATGCATGTAATGTCCACTTTTATGAGTTTTAGGAAGGAATTGGAAGCCATGAGTTACGACATTGCATCAGTATCTCATAGCCTCCAATTCCTTCAAAAAATGGGAGAAACTTTGTCCGAATAGTTTAACATTCGGACAAAGTTTCTCCCATTTTAAGAAGGAATTGGAGGGTAAGAGATATACCATATGAATGTATATCTCTTACCTCCAATTCCTTCTAGAAAGTGTCCAAACTTGGGTTACTTGCAAACTATTAACCCAAAGTTTAGACATTTCAAGTGGAGATGGAAGGCTTTGGGGTATATATTATACAATATACCTCAAAGGCCTTCCATCTCCACTACAAATGGGAGAAACTTTGTCCGAATGTTAAACTATTCGGACAAAGTTTCTCCCATCTTTCAATGTAATTGCTACCCGTGAGGTACTGACTTGAAGTCAGTGCTTCACAGGTAGCAATATCCAAAAATTTAAAAACATTTTATCAGTTCGTTAGAGAACTAGAGCCTCCTAGGTACTGAACCAGAATCAGTGCCTAGGGGACTCTAGTGATCTATATAAATCTGAGAAACTTTGAGGAATTGTTCGACATTTCCTCAAAGTTTCTCAGCAATTTAGCGAGGAATGTTCGTTATCGTGTAGATATTTCTATATACATGATAACAAACATTCCCGCTAAAAGATGTAAAATCTTATAAGAAATAATTGCAAAAGAATAACAAATTGCAACAAATTTTATATGAAACTGAACCTTATGAGGTAGTGATTCAAGATCACCGCCTCATAAGATTCAGTTTCAATCTCAAGTATCTCAAAAGTAAGGCTCTATTTTTTGCCATGTAAAGTGTCACTTTTCTGTCAAACCGTTTTGGCGTTTTCGTTTACAACATGACAACAGTTAAATTTACACAACCTATTAAAAATTTACCACGTATGTGTTTCTATAATTGTCAAAAACTCACTGAGATTACTTTTGCTGTAAACAATGTTATTGGTATTGGAGAAAACTGTTTCTTTAATTGCTCTAATTTAGAATCAATTGATTTTCCAAATTGCCAGGAAATTCAATATTATGCTTTTGCATATTGCACAAAATTACAAAAAGTTGGAAGTTTGAAATCTATAAATTTGTCAAAGTAATGGCAACAAGTGAAATTAGTTTAGTTGTTTTTGCCATTATTTTGTTTATCGCTATGATCGCCGTTATTGTCTTCTTCGTAATAATGATCAAGAAACTTGGTTCTAAAAATGAAGATATTCAAGAGGATTCTTCAGTCGAAATTCAGGATATGGAAGAAATTCCAGAAGAAGACAGAAAGAAACACGAATCTATGATGACAACTATGATCAATGAAGATGATACTCCTTTCAATGAAGATGCAAATCTTGACGAATTCCATTTTTCAAAGAATGAACCTACTGAATAAATTTTTATGAGGATGTTTTATTGTCGTCTGGAAAAAGTGACAAAATTATTATTGTCGTCTAAAAAGGTGACAAATTATTATTGTCGTCTGGAAAAGTGACAAAATTATCATTGTCGTCTAAAAAATAGATTTTTCAAGCATGTTTCGGTACCTAAATAAAGGAAGAACATCAATTCCATCTATGTATATAGTATGCAAACACGCATGATATATGGAGTAGCTCTTTATCTGGCTAAAAATCCTATTATTTGAAAATTCGCATTGTCGTCTAAAACCGCCAGACGACAATAATAATACCCCAATTTTTATTATTTTTTTATTTTATATTTTTCAACTACATATTAGATAAAGGCAATATTTATATGCTTGGATTCAGGATTTTTGTTCAGAAAAGCTTTTCAGATATCAGTAGGCATTTCTTTCTCTAAAAAATCACATTTTTAATGGTGGCGAATTCTATAACTAATTAATTTCATTTTTATGATAGGTTGTTTTTTGATATTTCATCAGTCACCACATATGAGATGCAAATAGTGAAGCCTTAAGTCTTCACTAAAATGACAAAACTTATTCAAAATTTTTAAAAAGATGATAAATATGCTCTACAATACATATAAATACTAGTCTATCATTTTTGGTAAAAGCATATTATAACTCATGTTAGTGGAGTGAGGCATTTTTTAGGTGGGGAATTAAAAATTAAAAATAATGATAAATATAGCATTGATATACATCAGAAAATATATATCTCAAGAGACTTTAATTTTTGTTATGTTAGTGCACCCTTAAAGGCGTGATTTTTTAAATTTTTTGGCAAAAAGATAAAATCACATTTAGAAACATCAATCCTGTCACTCATGAGTACACATATACAAGCGTTACAATCAATGAAATAATGAATAAAATTCAATTTTTAAAGGATTTCGAATGTTGATGACCTGGATATAGAGTCCCTATATCATTAATATATGAACTTGGTAGAGTTTAATTTTTCGCCCACTTTTTTTTCATATCATATTTTTCATCTAGAATTCAATAAAATGGACTACTGAATTACATTACAAAGCATAAACTTAACTTTATTGAATATTTGTTTAAAATATGATAGGTTTATTCACAAGTTTGATGGCCTAAATTTCGACTATTTTTTTACTGAAATTTTAGGCCATCAACAAAATTAAAAAAAATGAAACGCTGCAACTTTAATAAGCTTATGGAGTTATGCAAAGATTATCATGAAGCATACACTGCTCTTTATATGCTGAAATCATCTGACGAAACAAAAATCAACCAAGTCTATGAAGGTCTCAAAAACAAATTATTGGATACAAAAGTTGTCACTCCAGCACAAATGTGTAAGTCTATTTCGAATGCAGCAATATTTAATAACAAATATATTATATCATACTTTATTTTATTCAAAAAGATATTTGACGAATTAATTTCAGATCGGACAGAAATATTATCTTATAAAGAAAGTAAACTTAATAGTGTGTATTATAAGTTCATAGATGCTATCCAGAGGGAAAAAGAAATAAATCAAGATCCTCAAGATATTTTATGTATCGAAAAAGAGAACCCCATTTTCAAGGCAATTATGGATGACGATTTACGAGCTTTTATAGCTTTTTCAGAATTCGAAGGATTTCGTGAAGATCAAAAATATGTGAGTGATTTCTTTCCAGATAGTATTACCGAAATTGGAGGTATCCAAGCAGGAACTAAAAAGGAATATTCATTACTTGAATTATGTTGTTATTATGGATCAGTTGATTGTTTTAAGTTTTTAAGAACACGATTCAATTCAATTATCACTAAAGATTGTCTTCAGTTTTCATTTTTGAGCGGAAATCCAGACATTATGTCCCAATGCATAAAGAGTCATGTAGAATATTATAATTGCATGCCATATGCGATCATTTCACACAATATTGACTTTATTTCTTTCTTGATCAATGAGAAACATCAAACTATTAATTTAAGATATTGTATTGAGTTTAATAATATATTAGCATTTTTGGTACATTTGGATCAATTTAATGCTATCAACGAATGCTTTCCTGCCTCAATTCATTTCAACATCAAAGGACTCCGGGGTTATCTTCTTTCGCATGGTGCAGATCCTAATGCTACAACCATTGATAAGTTAACAGCTCTTCATTTATCAATTCTTGAAAAAAACACACGAAGAGTACAATTTCTTATTGCAAATGGTGCCAATGTTAACGTATTAGATTCTAAATTTAGAACTCCACTTCATTGTGCTGCCGAAAATAACTGCTTGGAAATAGCAAAAATTCTCTTATCACATGGCGCAAAAATAAGGGTTAATGATAAAAATTATCAAACACCACTTCATTATGCAGCTCGAGGTAATGCGAAGGAAATTGTCGAATTGCTCCTTTCACATGATGCGTTTGTCAACGATCTTGATAAAAATGGAATGGCACCTATTCATATTGCAGCATTATATAATAGCAAGGAAACATTAGAATTTCTTTTGTCACACGGAGCATCCACCCAAAACATAATGATTAAGAGAACAACTCTACTTATGATTGCTGCAATGGGAAATAGTAAAGAAACTGCAGAATTTCTTATTTCTCATGGAGCTGATGTCAATTCCAATGATGGTCGGGGTACTCCACTTCATTATGCAGTCATTAATAATAGCGTTGAAACAGCTAAAGTTCTGATTGAACATGGAGCAATCTTCGACTCAAAAGTATATAGTATTACAATTCCACTTCATATTGCAGCATTAATGGGGAAAAAAGAGTTCGCCGAATTGTTTTTTTCACCTGTGGCAAATACATTTACATTTGATTATTATAAAAAAAGAACTCTACTTCATATTGCAGCAATAAAGGGAAAAAAGAGATTGTGGAATTGCTTTTATCACATGGGGCAAATATCAACCAATTTGATTCTTCTAAAAGTACTCCCCTTCATATTGCAGCAATAAAGGGAAAAAAGAGATTGTTGAATTGCTTTTATCACATGGGGCAAATATCAACCAATTTGATTCTTTAAATAGAACTCCCCTTCATATTGCAGCAATAAAGGGAAAAAAGAGATTGTTGAATTGCTTTTATCACATGGGGCAAATATCAACCAATTTGATTCTTTAAATAGAACTCCCCTTCATATTGCAGCAATAAAGGGAAAAAAGGAGATCGCTGAATTGCTTTTATCACATGGGGCAAATATCAACCAATTTGATTCTTTAAATAGAACTCCCCTTCATATTGCAGCAATAAAGGGAAAAAAGAGATCGCGAATTGCTTTTATCACATAGGGCAAATATCAACCAATTTGATTCTTTAAATAGAACTCCCCTTCATATTGCAGCAATAAAGGGAAAAAAGGAGATCGCCGAATTGCTTTTATCACATAGGGCAAATATCAACCAATTTGATTCTTTAAATAGAACTCCCTTCATATGCAGCAATAAAGGGAAAAAAGGAGATCGCGAATTGCTTTTATCACATGGGCAAATATCAACCAATTTGATTCTTTAAATAGAACTCCCCTTCATATTGCAGCAATAAAGGGAAAAAAGGAGATCGCTGAATGCTTTTATCACATGGGCAAATATCAACCAATTTGATTCTTTAAAAGTACTCCCTTCATATTGCAGCAATAAAGGGAAAAAAGAGATCGCTGAATTGCTTTTATCACATGGGGCAAATATCAACCAATTTGATTCTTTAAATAGAACTCCCTTCATATTGCAGCAATAAAGGGAAAAAAGGAGATCGCCGAATTGCTTTTATCACATGGGGCAAATATCAACCAATTTGATTCTTTAAATAGAACTCCCCTTCATATTGCAGCAATAAAGGGAAAAAGGAGATCGCTGAATTGCTTTTATCACATGGGGCAAATTCAACCATTTGATTCTTTAAATAGAACTCCCTTCATAATTGCAGCAATAAAGGGAAAAAAGGAGATCGCCGAATTGCTTTTATCACATGGGGCAAATATCAACCAATTTGATTCTTTAAAAGTACTCCCTTCATATTGCAGCAATAAAGGAAAAAAGGAGATCGCTGAATTGCTTTTATCACATGGGGCAAATATCAACAATTTGATTCTTTAAATAGAACCCACTTCATAATGCAGCAATAAAGGGAAAAAAGGAGATCGCCGAATTGCTTTTATCACATGGGGCAAATATCAACCAATTTGATCCTTCTAAAAGTACTCCCCTTCATATTGCAGCAATAAAGGGAAAAAGAGATGTTGAATTGCTTTTATCACATGGGCAAATGTCAACCATTTGATTCTTTAAATAGAACTCCACTTCATATGCAGCAATAAAGGGAAAAAAAGAGATCGCTGAATTGCTTTTATCACATGGGGCAAATATCAACCAATTTGATTCTTTAAATAGAACTCCCTTCATATGCAGCAATAAAGGGAAAAAAGAGATGTTGAATTGCTTTTATCACATGGGGCAAATATCAACCAATTTGATTCTTCTAAAAGTACTCCCCTTCATATTGCAGCAATAAAGGGAAAAAAGAGATTGTTGAATTGCTTTTATCACATGGGGCAAATATCAACCAATTTGATTCTTCTAAAGTACTCCCCTTCATATTGCAGCAATAAAGGGAAAAAAGAGATTGTTGAATTGCTTTTATCACATGGGGCAAATATCAACCAATTTGATTCTTTAAATAGAACTCCCCTTCATATTGCAGCAATAAAGGGAAAAAAGAGATGTTGAATTGCTTTTATCACATGGGGCAAATATCAACCAATTTGATTCTTCTAAAAGAACTCCCCTTCATATTGCAGCAATAAAGGGAAAAAAGGAGATCGCTGAATTGCTTTTATCACATGGGGCAAATATCAACCAATTTGATTCTTTAAATAGAACTCCCCTTCATATTGCAGCAATAAAGGGAAAAAAGAGATTGTTGAATTGCTTTTATCACATGGGGCAAATATCAACCAATTTGATTCTTTAAATAGAACTCCCCTTCATATTGCAGCAATAAAGGGAAAAAAGAGATTGTTGAATTGCTTTTATCACATGGGGCAAATATCAACCAATTTGATTCTTTAAATAGAACTCCCCTTCATATTGCAGCAATAAAGGGAAAAAAGGAGATCGCTGAATTGCTTTTATCACATGGGGCAAATATCAACCAATTTGATTCTTTAAATAGAACTCCCCTTCATATTGCAGCAATAAAGGGAAAAAAGGAGATCGCTGAATTGCTTTTATCACATGGGGCAAATATCAACCAATTTGATTCTTTAAATAGAACTCCCCTTCATATTGCAGCAATAAAGGGAAAAAAGGAGATCGCTGAATTGCTTTTATCACATGGGGCAAATATCAACCAATTTGATTCTTTAAATAGAACTCCCTTCATATTGCAGCAATAAAGGGAAAAAAAGGAGATCGCTGAATTGCTTTTATCACATGGGGCAAATATCAACCAATTTGATTCTTTAAATAGAACTCCCCTTCATATTGCAGCAATAAAGGGAAAAAAGAGATCGTGAATTGCTTTTATCACATGGGGCAATATCAAGCATTTGATTCTTTAAATAGAACTCCCCTTCATATTGCAGCAATAAAGGGAAAAAAGGAGATCGCTGAATTGCTTTTATCACATGGGGCAAATATCAACCAATTTGATTCTTTAAATAGAACTCCCCTTCATATTGCAGCAATAAAGGGAAAAAAGGAGATTGTTGAATTGCTTTTATCACATGGGGCAAATATCAACCAATTTGATTCTTTAAATAGAACTCCCCTTCATATTGCAGCAATAAAGGGAAAAAAGAGATTGTTGAATTGCTTTTATCACATGGGCAAATATCAACCAATTTGATTCTTTAAAAGAACTCCCCTTCATATTGCAGCAATAAAGGGAAAAAAGAGATTGTTGAATTGCTTTTATCACATGGGGCAAATATCAACCAATTTGATTCTTCTAAAAGTACTCCCCTTCATATTGCAGCAATAAAGGGAAAAAAGAGATTGTTGAATTGCTTTTATCACATGGGGCAAATATCAACCAATTTGATTCTTTAAATAGAACTCCCCTTCATATTGCAGCAATAAAGGGAAAAAAGAGATGTTGAATTGCTTTTATCACATGGGGCAAATATCAACCAATTTGATTCTTTAAATAGAACTCCCCTTCATATTGCAGCAATAAAGGGAAAAAAGGAGATCGCTGAATTGCTTTTATCACATGGGGCAAATATCAACCAATTTGATTCTTTAAATAGAACTCCCCTTCATATTGCAGCAATAAAGGGAAAAAAGAGATTGTTGAATTGCTTTTATCACATGGGGCAAATATCAACCAATTTGATTCTTTAAATAAACTCCCTTCATATGCAGCAATAAAGGGAAAAAAGGAGATGCTGAATTGCTTTTATCACATGGGGCAAATATCAACCAATTTGATTCTTTAAATAGAACTCCCCTTCATATTGCAGCAATAAAGGGAAAAAAGGAGATCGCGAATTGCTTTTATCACATGGGGCAAATATCAACCATTTGATTCTTTAAATAGAACTCCCCTTCATTGCAGCAATAAAGGGAAAAAAGGAGATCGCCGAATTGCTTTTATCACATGGGGCAAATATCAACCAATTTGATTCTTTAAATAGAACTCCCCTTCATATTGCAGCAATAAAGGGAAAAAAGGAGATCGCTGAATTGCTTTTATCACATGGGGCAAATATCAACCAATTTGATTCTTTAAAATACTCCCTTCATATTGCAGCAATAAAGGGAAAAAAGAGATCGTTGAATTGCTTTTATCACATGGGGCAAATATCAACCAATTTGATTCTTCTAAAAGTACTCCCCTTCATATTGCAGCAATAAAGGGAAAAAAGAGATTGTTGAATTGCTTTTATCACATGGGGCAAATATCAACCAATTTGATTCTTCTAAAAGTACTCCACTTCATATTGCAGCAATAAAGGGAAAAAAGGAGATCGCTGAATTGCTTTTATCACATGGGGCAAATATCAACCAATTTGATTCTTTAAATAGAACTCCACTTCATATTGCAGCAATAAAGGGAAAAAAGGAGATCGCTGAATTGCTTTTATCACATGGGCAAATATCAACCAATTTGATTCTAAAAGTACTCCTTCATATTGCAGCAATAAAGGGAAAAAAGGAGATGTGAATTGCTTTTATCACATGGGGCAAATATCAACCAATTTGATTCTTTAAATAGAACTCCCTTCATATGCAGCAATAAAGGGAAAAAAGGAGATCGCGAATTGCTTTTATCACATGGGGCAAATATCAACCAATTTGATTCTTCTAAAAGTACTCCCTTCATATTGCAGCAATAAAGGGAAAAAAGAGATGTTGAATTGCTTTTATCACATGGGGCAAATATCAACCAATTTGATTCTTTAAATAGAACTCCCTTCATATTGCAGCAATAAAGGGAAAAAAGAGATTGTTGAATTGCTTTTATCACATGGGGCAAATATCAACCAATTTGATTCTTTAAATAGAACTCCACTTCATAATGCAGCAATAAAGGGAAAAAAGGAGATCGCCGAATTGCTTTTATCACATGGGGCAAATATCAACCAATTTGATTCTTTAAATAGAACTCCCCTTCATATTGCAGCAATAAAGGGAAAAAAGGAGATCGCCGAATTGCTTTTATCACATGGGGCAAATGTCAACGCATTTGATTCTTTAAATAGAACTCCACTTCATAATGCAGCAATAAAGGGAAAAAAGGAGATCGCCGAATTGCTTTTATCACATGGGGCAAATATCAACCAATTTGATTCTTTAAATAGAACTCCCCTTCATATTGCAGCAATAAAGGGAAAAAAGAGATTGTTGAATTGCTTTTATCACATAGGGCAAATGTCAACGCATTTGATTCTTTAAATAGAACTCCACTTCATAATGCAGCAATAAAGGGAAAAAAGGAGATCGCCGAATTGCTTTTATCACATGGGGCAAATATCAACCAATTTGATCCTTCTAAAAGTACTCCCCTTCATATTGCAGCAATAAAGGGAAAAAAGAGATTGTTGAATTGCTTTTATCACATAGGGCAAATGTCAACGCATTTGATTCTTTAAATAGAACTCCACTTCATAATGCAGCAATAAAGGGAAAAAAGGAGATCGCCGAATTGCTTTTATCACATGGGGCAAATATCAACCAATTTGATTCTTTAAAAGTACTCCCCTTCATATTGCAGCAATAAAGGGAAAAAAGAGATTGTTGAATTGCTTTTATCACATGGGGCAAATATCAACCAATTTGATTCTTTAAATAGAACTCCCCTTCATATTGCAGCAATAAAGGGAAAAAAGAGATTGTTGAATTGCTTTTATCACATGGGGCAAATATCAACCAATTTGATTCTTTTAAAAGAACTCCCCTTCATATTGCAGCAATAAAGGGAAAAAAGAGATTGTTGAATTGCTTTTATCACATGGGGCAAATATCAACCAATTTGATTCTTTAAATAGAACTCCCCTTCATATTGCAGCAATAAAGGGAAAAAAGAGATCGCTGAATTGCTTTTATCACATGGGGCAAATATCAACCAATTTGATTCTTTAAATAGAACTCCCCTTCATATTGCAGCAATAAAGGGAAAAAAGGAGATCGCTGAATTGCTTTTATCACATGGGGCAAATATCAACCAATTTGATTCTTTAAATAGAACTCCCCTTCATATTGCAGCAATAAAGGGAAAAAAGAGATCGCTGAATTGCTTTTATCACATGGGGCAAATATCAACCAATTTGATTCTTTAAATAGAACTCCCTTCATATTGCAGCAATAAAGGGAAAAAAGAGATTGTTGAATTGCTTTTATCACATGGGGCAAATATCAACCAATTTGATTCTTTAAATAGAACTCCCTTCATATTGCAGCAATAAAGGGAAAAAAAGAGATTGTGAATTGCTTTTATCACATGGGGCAAATATCAACCAATTTGATTCTTTAAATAGAACTCCCTTCATATTGCAGCAATAAAGGGAAAAAAGAGATCGTGAATTGCTTTTATCACATGGGGCAAATATCAACCAATTTGATTCTTTAAATAGAACTCCCCTTCATATTGCAGCAATAAAGGGAAAAAAGGAGATCGCTGAATTGCTTTTATCACATGGGGCAAATATCAACCAATTTGATTCTTTAAATAGAACTCCCCTTCATATTGCAGCAATAAAGGGAAAAAAGAGATTGTTGAATTGCTTTTATCACATGGGGCAAATATCAACCAATTTGATTCTTTAAATAGAACTCCCCTTCATATTGCAGCAATAAAGGGAAAAAAGAGATTGTTGAATTGCTTTTATCACATGGGCAAATATCAACCATTTGATTCTTTAAATAGAACTCCCCTTCATATGCAGCAATAAAGGGAAAAAAGAGATCGTGAATTGCTTTTATCACATGGGGCAAATATCAACCAATTTGATTCTTTAAATAGAACTCCCCTTCATATTGCAGCAATAAAGGGAAAAAAGGAGATCGCTGAATTGCTTTTATCACATGGGCAAATGTCAACAATTTGATTCTTTAAATAGAACTCCCCTTCATATTGCAGCAATAAAGGGAAAAAAGGAGATCGAATTGCTTTTATCACATGGGCAAATATCAACCAATTTGATTCTTTAAATAGAACTCCCCTTCATATTGCAGCAATAAAGGGAAAAAAGGAGATCGCTGAATTGCTTTTATCACATGGGGCAAATGTCAACCATTTGATTCTTTAAATAGAACTCCCTTCATATTGCAGCAATAAAGGGAAAAAAGGAGATCGCTGAATTGCTTTTATCACATGGGGCAAATATCAACCAATTTGATTCTTTAAATAGAACTCCCCTTCATATTGCAGCAATAAAGGGAAAAAAGGAGATCGCTGAATTGCTTTTATCACATGGGGCAAATGTCAACCAATTTGATTCTTTAAATAGAACTCCACTTCATATTGCAGCAATAAAGGGAAAAAAGGAGATCGTGAATTGCTTTTATCACATGGGGCAAATATCAACCAATTTGATTCTAAATAGTAACTCCCCTTCATATTGCAGCAATAAAGGGAAAAAAGAGATCGTTGAATTGCTTTTATCACATGGGGCAAATGTCAACCAATTTGATTCTTTAAATAGAACTCCCTTCATATTGCAGCAATAAAGGGAAAAAGGAGATCGTGAATTGCTTTTATCACATGGGGCAAATATCAACCAATTTGATCTTTAAAGTACTCCCCTTCATATTGCAGCAATAAAGGGAAAAAAGGAGATCGCCGAATTGCTTTTATCACATGGGGCAAATATCAACCAATTTGATTCTTTAAATAGAACTCCCCTTCATATTGCAGCAATAAAGGGAAAAAAGGAGATCGCTGAATTGCTTTTATCACATGGGGCAAATATCAACCAATTTGATTCTTTAAATAGAACTCCCCTTCATATTGCAGCAATAAAGGGAAAAAAGGAGATCGCTGAATTGCTTTTATCACATAGGGCAAATGTCAACGCATTTGATTCTTTAAATAGAACTCCACTTCATAATGCAGCAATAAAGGGAAAAAAGGAGATCGCCGAATTGCTTTTATCACATGGGGCAAATATCAACCAATTTGATTCTTTAAATAGAACTCCCCTTCATATTGCAGCAATAAAGGGAAAAAAGGAGATCGCTGAATTGCTTTTATCACATGGGGCAAATATCAACCAATTTGATTCTTCTAAAAGTACTCCCCTTCATATTGCAGCAATAAAGGGAAAAAAGAGATTGTTGAATTGCTTTTATCACATGGGGCAAATATCAACCAATTTGATTCTTTAAATAGAACTCCACTTCATATTGCAGCAATAAAGGGAAAAAAGAGATTGTTGAATTGCTTTTATCACATGGGGCAAATATCAACCAATTTGATTCTTTAAATAGAACTCCACTTCATATTGCAGCAATAAAGGGAAAAAAGGAGATTGTTGAATTGCTTTTATCACATGGGGCAAATTCAACCAATTTGATTCTTTAAATAGAACTCCCTTCATATTGCAGCAATAAAGGGAAAAAAGGAGATCGGAATTGCTTTTATCACATGGGGCAAATATCAACCAATTTGATTCTTTAAATAGAACTCCCTTCATATTGCAGCAATAAAGGGAAAAAAGGAGATCGCTGAATTGCTTTTATCACATGGGGCAAATATCAACCAATTTGATTCTTTAAATAGAACTCCCCTTCATATTGCAGCAATAAAGGGAAAAAAGGAGATCGCCGAATTGCTTTTATCACATGGGGCAAATATCAACCAATTTGATTCTTTAAATAGAACTCCCCTTCATATTGCAGCAATAAAGGGAAAAAAGAGATTGTTGAATTGCTTTTATCACATGGGGCAAATATCAACCATTTGATTCTTTAAATAGAACTCCCCTTCATATGCAGCAATAAAGGGAAAAAAGGAGATCGCCGAATTGCTTTTATCACATGGGGCAAATATCAACCAATTTGATTCTTTAAAAGTACTCCCCTTCATATTGCAGCAATAAAGGGAAAAAAGAGATCGTTGAATTGCTTTTATCACATGGGGCAAATATCAACCAATTTGATTCTTTAAAAGACTCCCCTTCATATTGCAGCAATAAAGGGAAAAAAGAGATTGTGAATTGCTTTTATCACATGGGGCAAATATCAACCAATTTGATTCTTTAAAAGTAACTCCCCTTCATATTGCAGCAATAAAGGGAAAAAAGAGATCGTTGAATTGCTTTTATCACATGGGGCAAATATCAACCAATTTGATTCTTTAAATAGAACTCCCCTTCATATTGCAGCAATAAAGGGAAAAAAGGAGATCGCCGAATTGCTTTTATCACATGGGGCAAATATCAACCAATTTGATTCTTCTAAAAGTACTCCCCTTCATATTGCAGCAATAAAGGGAAAAAAGAGATTGTGAATTGCTTTTATCACATGGGGCAAATATCAACCAATTTGATTCTTTAAATAGAACTCCCTTCATATTGCAGCAATAAAGGGAAAAAAGAGATTGTTGAATTGCTTTTATCACATGGGGCAAATATCAACCAATTTGATTCTTCTAAAAGTACTCCCCTTCATATTGCAGCAATAAAGGGAAAAAAGAGATTGTTGAATTGCTTTTATCACATGGGGCAAATATCAACCAATTTGATTCTTCTAAATAGTACTCCCTTCATATTGCAGCAATAAAGGGAAAAAAGAGATTGTTGAATTGCTTTTATCACATGGGGCAAATATCAACCAATTTGATTCTTCTAAAAGTACTCCCCTTCATATTGCAGCAATAAAGGGAAAAAAGGAGTTGAATTGCTTTTATCACATGGGGCAAATATCAACCAATTTGATTCTTTAAAAGTACTCCCCTTCATATTGCAGCAATAAAGGGAAAAAAGAGATCGTTGAATTGCTTTTATCACATGGGGCAAATATCAACCAATTTGATTCTTCTAAAAGTACTCCCTTCATATTGCAGCAATAAAGGGAAAAAAGAGATTGTTGAATTGCTTTTATCACATGGGGCAAATATCAACCAATTTGATTCTTTAAATAGAACTCCCCTTCATATTGCAGCAATAAAGGGAAAAAAGAGATCGCGAATTGCTTTTATCACATGGGGCAAATATCAACCAATTTGATTCTTTAAAAGTACTCCCCTTCATATTGCAGCAATAAAGGGAAAAAAGGAGATCGCTGAATTGCTTTTATCACATGGGCAAATGTCAACATTTGATTCTTTAAATAGAACTCCCTTCATATTGCAGCAATAAAGGGAAAAAAGGAGATCGCTGAATTGCTTTTATCACATGGGCAAATATCAAGCATTTGATTCTTTAAATAGAACTCCCTTCATATGCAGCAATAAAGGGAAAAAAGGAGATCGCGAATTGCTTTTATCACATGGGGCAAATATCAACCAATTTGATTCTTTAAATAGAACTCCACTTCATATTGCAGCAATAAAGGGAAAAAAGAGATTGTTGAATTGCTTTTATCACATGGGGCAAATATCAACCAATTTGATTCTTTAAATAGAACTCCACTTCATATTGCAGCAATAAAG